GGATGTCGGACGGAATCTTTACGGTCAAGTCGGCGTATCATTTGGCTGTTACTCTAGCGCAGCAAAATGGGAAGTCGAAAGCCATGGTTAGTTGAATGGATAGACCTAGTTGGCTCCGTCTGTGGGATTCGAACATTCCCCCCAAACTTAAGATTTTTGCTTGGCAAATCTTCAATCGGGTCCTCCCTACTACAGAGGCTCTGATTGAGAAAGAGGTGGAGGTGCTCCCGCGGTGTCCGGTTTGTTGGGCTGCGTCTGAAACAATGGAGCATTTGTTTCTGGATTGTCCGGTGGTGAGGGCGTTGGATCATTCGGGGTTGGACCAATTGGGACAGGCTTTGCCGCGTGATACGTTTCCCTGTTCCTCAAAAGGTTAATGCTTCGGCTTACGCAGCCAGACCGGTTTCTCGCGGTTCTAATGCTCTTGTGGTGTATCTGGCGATCCCGGAACTGGGTAGTTTTTGACGGTAAACAATTTGGTATTCCAAATTTAATGCGCCAATTTACCCAACAGTATAACAAATGGATTGATTTGCCTAGGGATCGGGATGGTCGGCCCCAGTGTTTGATTCCTCGGGCCGGGGACTTTGGTAACCCGGCTGAGGTGGTTTGTCAATGGGATGGGGCGACGAAAGCGGGCTCTCATTCGGCTAGTGGAATGGTTATCAGCCAACGGTCTGGGGAGGGGGGGGGGGGGTTATCCGGATCCTAGGGATTCAGCTGCTTCATGTGGATGATCCAATGACGATTGAGCTGCTTGTACTCAGGGAGGCTGTCCTTTGGTGTCTTAGCCTGGGGTTCCATACAATCTGCTTTGAGGGTGATGCGAAGGTTTTGATTGATAAGATTAACCAGTCTGATACTAGGGATGGAAGGGTGGGGCGTTGCTGCAGGAGGTGGTATCTTATTTCATGCTCCATGATGGTCTTAGTGTGCAATTTGTTGGCCGTAGGAACAATAGGGTAGCCCATGTGGTGGCTAGAAAGGCCCTGTCATTGTACCCGGCTCCATGTTGATCTTTTGATTTTATGAACTGACTTAATTCCAGGATGTAACTATCTTTTTCGATTAATATATGATTATCTATTGTAAAAAAAATCATGTTATGTTACCATACTCCTTTAGATAAGGAGGTCATGCTTGCAAGTATGTTGGTACCGGTCAGTTGTTGCAGATAGCACACGGTTACCCTTATCAAGTCTTTCACGTTTATCACGTTTGGGTGATCGGACGATTGTGCTAATTAGGGCGAGCTTGGGTCCCCCTTTCAAGTAAAACAAGCATAACTATTTAACTATGCATGTTCAAGTATTTATTGTAACGTAGCCATTACTTTTAAGATAAAGTGCACCTAGGATTGACTCATCATGCTCGCATTCAGGAGCAGTGATAAACCAGGAGCGTGTAGATCACCCCGCAGGGGCACAATTGCTCTTCAAGATGTCATCAGAGGGGTTATTGGCGGAAGAAGCTTCATGGAGAACTTCTTTTAAATTTTATGCATTGTCTATTAGTAGATTTGAAATGGATGTTCGCTTTTATTGGTTTGTTAAGAATGTTTTTCCTTTTCAATTTGGATTTGATTGACATGATTTTTCTGTTGTACCATTCAATTTGAATGGTTTATGGTTATCAATGACATTTTGATAAATTTAGCGACCGAACGGTATAGGTGTTATAATTTTCATCATCATTTTCATTATTAATTTATTTTTAGTACCTAACGCGCCCCGCGATTCTGCCTAAGCTTCCCACTCCCCCATCTCTTCCCTCTTTATTGTTTTCTATAAATATCAAAGCTACAAAAATGGCTTCTCCCATTATCCGGATTCCATTGCTCGCCACCAGCGTCCAGACTAGTCTTCTAAAAAGGCTAGAAGACAAAAGTCGCGCGTAAGCTGGTTAACAGAAGGGGATCGCAACACCCCATACTTCCATATGATAACGGCAATCAGACGTCAGGCCAATTTCATCTGGGGATTGGAAGACTCTAGGGGTATATGGTATACAGACGGAGATCAGAAACTACGCATAGCAGTTGAGTTTTATCAAGCTTTATTTCGATCTCAGCTCACTGAAGGGATCAGCTTAGCTAACTTGCCATTTGAACGCTTTGTCTCTGAAGAACAAAATCAAGCTCTTGTTGATCGAGTCACAGCAGAAGAAGTCAAAGAAGTAGTTTTCAGTATGGGGAAAACCCAAGCCCCTGGACCAGATGGATTCACAGCAGGATTCTTCCAAGCGTACTGGGAGGTAGTTGGGAACGATGTCACCCAGGCAGTCTTAGCTTTCTTTCACTCTGGTCATCTTTTAAGATCTATCAATAGAACTTGGATTTCGCTTGTTCCAAAAGCTGCAGAAGTTAGATCAATGAAGAATCTCAGACCTATTAGTCTATGCCAAGTGGTCTACAAAATCATAGCAAAAATTTTAGCTAATAGACTAAGTAGGGTCCTCCCTAGTGTAATATGCCAAACCCAGAATGGCTTCATCAAAGGGCGTCAAATCTCAGACAATATACTAATTAGCCATGAGATTTCTCATCATCTCCGGACTATGACCTCTGGTCAAAGAACATGGATGGCACTTAAACTAGATATGGAAAAAGCCTATGACCGTGTGGAATGGCCTTTTCTTTTTGAGGTTATGGAAAAACTAGGATTTGATTACAAGTTTATGACATGGGTGAAAGAATGCGTTACAACAGTTTCATACTCGGTTCTAGTAAACGGAGTCCCCTCTAGTTACTTCCGGCCCTCAAGAGGACTTAGACAGGGAGACCCCCTATCGTCTCTCCTATTTGCTATCTGTACGGAAGGTTTTTCGGCATTGATAAGGCACTCAGTAGCGATAGGGTATTTGGAAGGAGTCAGGATCCGGGCAAATTGCCCAATGGTTTCTCATATATTCTTTGCGGATGACTCTTATCTCTTCTTGGAAGCTTCCCCGCAGTCTTGCTCAACAGTTCTGTCGCTATTTCAAGTTTATGAGGGCCTAAGCGGTCAAAGGGTTAACCTGCAAAAGTCAGCTGTTTTATTTAGTCGCAACACGAACCCTGACCTGGCAGAGGCTCTAGGAAGACAATTAGGAGTGGGAAGCATTGGAGAACAAGATTATTACTTGGGACTCCCTTCAGTCATATCTAGATCAAAGAGAGAGGCTTTCCTTTTCATAGAAGAGAAGCTTATCAAAAAGTTACAAGGGTGGAAACAGCGTGCTCTCTCTAAAGCTGGGAAAGACATCTTGATTAGAACAGCGGCCACCAATCTCCCAGTACATGGATTGTCTTGCTTTAAGATCCCAAAAGAAAATTGTAGAAGGCTTAATAGTCAAGTAGCAAGATTCTGGTGGGGATCAGCAGAAAACACAGATCACCCAATACACTGGGTGTCCTGGAAAAGCTTGGCAAGTAGTAAGTTTCTTGGAGGCCTAGGCTTTAGGGACTTTGGGGCATTTAACCAAGCACTGTTAGCAAAACAATGCTGGCGAATATGGCAAACTCCGGATTCCCTTCTAGCTTCACTCTATAAAGGTCGTTACTTTCAGCATGGTTCAGTGTTGGACGCTAGCCTAGGCTCAAATCCTTCTTGGGGGTGGAGGAGTATTCTGTTTGGAAGAGACCTCCTCCTCCAAGGACTAAGATGGCAAATTGGAGATGGGCAAGACATCGTAGCCTTCAAAGATAAGTGGGTCATTGCAGACAAACCCATCACCCCGTTGGTGCGTCTTTCGAACATTACTAACTCCCCAAGACTCTCCTTCTTTATCAAGGAAAATAGAGGAGAGTGGCATGTCCCAAGACTGCAATATTGTTTTGATCGTATGTCGGTAAACCTTATATGTAAAATCCCACTCCCGAGGTACCAACAGAGAGATTTGAGAGTGTGGCACTACACAAAAAATGGTTCATACTCAGTCAAAACAGGGTACCATTTAGCTCTACAACTCTCCCTAGCTTCAAGTCAAAAACCACAGGTCCAAATCATTGACTCTCCCATCTGGAAGAAAACATGGAATATGGTTATTCCCCCGAAGCTGAAGTTCTTTATCTGGCAATGCCTTAGAGTGATACTTCCAACAGTAGTAGCACTTAAATCCAGAGGAGTAAACTGTCTTGATCGATGCCCAGTTTGCTGGAGAAGACAGGAAAGTCTCGAACATCTATTTTTCAAATGCCCCTTGGCCACAAGATTGTGGTCCCTCATGGGTCTAAATGATTTCATCTCCTCGGCCCCGACTGTGAATTTCAGTCTCTGGTGGCGACATGTTATGCTTTCTGAGCACCCCCAAACCCACATTCTCCTATACGTTTGTGTATTATGGAGGATCTGGAAGTCTAGAAATAAGGTGGTCTTTGAGCATGTCCAACCTCATGCCCAGTCTCTCGCTCGTCAGTGTTTTTTCCAAGTTCGCGAATTGTCTTCCTCCCTCCCTTTGGCTCCTGCTCCGCCCCAGCCTCCCCGCTCTCGCCTCTCGTCTTGGTCCCCTCCTCCTGATGGCTTTGTGAAGATCAACTTTGATGCTGCTGTTCGATCCTCTGGTTGCTCGTCTGGCCTCGTGGTGCGCTGTTCAGATGGGCATGTGGCTCTGGCGTTAGGATTCCTTCATCCTGGTATTGCTGATCCCTATCTAGCGGAGCTCCTAGCAGCTAGGGATGCCATTGCCCTTGTTGTCTCCAAGTTGTTGCCTCGGGTCATCATAGAAGGAGATTCAGAGGTGGTGGTTCGTCAGCTTCGTCAAGGTGCTCTCTCCGATTCCATTGGAGGTCCGGTGCTTAGGGATTGTTTCCATCTCCTTTCTTCTCTCTCTGCTTCTTTAGAGTTTAGGGCAGTCCCTCGGTCTGCTAACAGTGCTGCCCATAGAGTGGCGCAGAAGGCACTGTTGCTCACCCCGTTAGAGTTATGTGCTTTTGATTTTGTGGGCTGGCTTCACTGATGTATTGGGTTGGGGAGGGTTGGGGTAGATTGTATAAGTTCTCTCTTGACATTTCTTGGAAAAAAAAAAAAAAAAAAAAAAAAAAAAGACTAGTCTTCTAAAAAAATGGAATTAGGAAAGAGGGAAGAACGGCAGGCAAACCATAAAAGCTGTTTTTGGGTTGTTCCCCAATTTTGCCACTTGTTGTGAGACAGAGAGAGCTTTTTTTTTTGTTCAACTACGCTCATTCTTTTTTTTTTTTTTTTTTTTTTTGCTATATATGAACAGTTGAACGTTGTTCGGCTGTTGTCGTTGTGAAAGAAGGAACCCCATTATCTTTTACCTTCCTTCTTCAAATACCTTACTCGGTGGGTTTAAAATATCCCCCGCCCTCCCATTTGGGTTTCCAGAAACCCCCAAAGCTGCTCCGTACGGCCAAATTCTCTTCATTTTATTTTTTCCGGAGGGAAGCAATTGTTCTGTTCCATCCTTCTCCGCGGGTCACCGTCCTCCTGCTGCGGAGATTTTGGGTTTCTGGGTAAAGTTTTTCCACCCGCCAAAAATGGTTTGTTTGGTAGCAAGATCTGGAAGGGAGTTGCAGAGATACAATCCCACGGGCGGCCGTCAAGTCGTCGGGTAATTTTGAAGAAATTTGTAGATGTTAGCTTTCGATGTTGAATTTGAAACTTGGGAAGTAATGTTGTTGTTGGGGGTTTTTTTTTTCAGATGCATTCCATACAGATTCAAGAACTACGATGATGGTTCGATCTCTGATGAATTGGAGGTTCTTGTCATCACATCTCAAAAGGGTGGTTCAGGCATGATGTTCCCTAAGGTATGCTACCCAAAAGGCATAAACTTTCGAGATCCAAAATCCGCAACCCTTTGCTTTCTTCTGTGTTTGACTTTGAATGAATGGTTGATTGATCAATGATTTTGGCTTTGTGTTTCGGGTATTATCAGGGTGGTTGGGAACTCGATGAATCTGAACAAGAAGCTGCTTCTAGAGAATCATTTGAAGAGGCTGGAGTTCTTGGCACAGTTGAGGTTGGTATCTAATTCGATTGAATCAAAGTCAATGAAACCTAGCTATTTGGGGATAGATGCCATGCCCTCTTTATTATTACTCTTCTTTTGTGACGGATGTTTGATGATTCTCTCTTAACCTTCTTTTCACCATATTGATAGGATCAATTGGGGAAATGGAACTTCATGAGCAAAAGCAATGGCATATTCTATGAAGGGTATATGTTCCCTTTGTTTGTGACTGAGCAAGTCGATTTTTGGCCAGAGAGGCATGTCCGCAGAAGAGTATGGGTATGCCAACTTTCTCCCCTCGTCCATGACCTTGTGGATAGAGATGCGTCTAGTTCCAATATGCTAATCGAATCCGATTTCCTCTGTTTCAATTTCAGATGAGCGTCGATGAGGCCAGGGACGCTTGTAGGCACTGGTGGATGAAGGAGGCTCTCGATGTATTAGTGGCGCGGCTAAAGTGCCTGAACCCAGAAGACAACGAAGAAGAAGAAGAAGAAGAGGGACGAGAAGTAGAAATACAAGGATATGGACAAGAACAAGATGAAGTATTAACTTGCACGCCTAGTTAGCCGACTACTCAATCGTCATCGCCTTGTATATACATAACCATTTGACGGTCACAGAGCAGCAGGCAAGGCAGGCAGGCTTTTTCCCAGTTTTGCTTTCAAACCATGAAGGCTGGCTAAGGGAAGTTTGTTCTGATTGGAGGAGAGTTGGTTTAGGACTGACAGAGACCAACAGAAAAGCAGCTCACAAAGGATTCGCACCAACCAACCATTACTGTAGAAGCGTTGATAGAAGAAGAATGCTCTGCTTATGGGTATTCCATTCCTCGATGTCTTGATCCAGAAACATAATATTTCCCAATCTGGTGTCTTGTATGCAATTGCAAAGTAGAGAGAAAAAAGGAACCGGAAGAACTGGGAGGATGTACATTTTGTTCTTTCTTCTTCTTCTTCTTCTTCTTCTTTCATGAGTCAATTTGAGTTTCCATTTCAAATTTGTTTGGCCACATTGCTTGCTTCATTCCTAATTTCCCAGAGATATATGTTGTATGTATTAGTATTACAGAATGCTCTCTTTATCTTTTCCCTTTCCTCGGTTATCTTCTCACCACAAGGTAAACACAGTCAGTCCCCAAGCTGAAAATGAGGGCTTAACTTTAGTGTGTGAAAATGGCGGCAGCGGATAGGTACATCTGATCTAATCTCATCCATTATTGGAGTGGAGGAGAGAGAAAGTTAGAGCCTAGTCATATGAGCCCATTGTTTTTTATCTTTCTTTTTCTTCTCTCTGGAAGGATTGGAAGACGATGACTTGCGAGTTGCAAAGTCTGTCGGTCCTGTTTTATTCTAGGTAGGGTGCACAACAAAATCCGAACTCACGGTTACTCTATCCGGTTCAATTCGGTTAACGTGGGTAAAACTCGTGTTGACGTATTTTGGGTTGGATTCGGGTTTAAACTCGTTCATTATTTACCGAATTGGGTTGGGTTTGTGTTTAGATATACCCGTCCACACTTATATATTTAATTTTTCTCGTATATTTAATATTCTAAGCAACTAATCTCTTTATGTTTGTGGAGACATGTCTAATTTTTTCTTTCTAATTGTGTGGAATAAAGTTGATATTATCGAGTGGAGAGTGAAGAAGTTTAATTGACAAGGAGTTAAAAGTTTTTAATTAATCATGTTGTTTATGGATAATTTGTGATTTGCTTGAATTTTCTTGAGTTTTTTATATTGGTGTTGAACAATTTGTATGATTAATTTATGATTTGCTTGAATTTTATAGAGCTGTGTTTTATATATGGATTATTTGTATTGGGAAATTGATATTTGACTTTTATTTTGATAGGAACTTGTTATTGTAAATTTTTTAGGACAAAAACCCATGAGTACCTATGAACCCGCAAAACCCCCCAACGGGTTCAGTTGATTTGAGATTTTCAAATCCAATGAGTTTTACCCCATATTTTTTTCACGAATAAATAAATCTATGAGTTTGGGTTCGATAAAACTCAACCTAGCCCGACCCTTTACCATACCTAATTCTATGTCTATCCACAACACGGATACCACCCCAACCTTACATTGCATGGCGTGATCACAATGGGAAATAGCATAGGAAATGGGCCACGCCTTTCTTTATTTCTTTCTTTCTAGTATGTTGAAAAATATTGAACACACAAACCACTTTTTGAGAAGCTACTAATCCTTTGGCGGGAAAAGTCAAGGCGTGTTCTCTTGAACTAGCAGGAGAGTTGGTGGGCTAGCCATGACAAATAAATATTGGGATGATCACATCAAATTAATAATAATAATAATAATAATAATAATAATAAATAAATAAATAAATGGTTGTATAGATAGCTACTCAGCCGTGAGATTGGGAGTTGAGGATGGGGATGGGGAGGGTTTCTTTCTTCTGGGTTCAACATTGATCCACTATTGTCTTGTCTTCATGCGGCTCATAATTCAACTATATGGTGACAAAATACATTTTCTTAGGATTTGGGACTTAATATAACAAAATAGAAGGTTCTATTTCCCAGATCAACTCAATCAAATGTTTAAAAGTAAACAAACTTTTGTTTTTTTTTTGTTTTTTACAGTAATCTGTGACGAGACTTTTTAAAAACCTTGTTAAGTCTGTATTATTTAATCGGTTCAAGTGCGCCTTGATAAAATAAAACAAGCATTTTTCATTTTTCAATGGTCTTCACTGTACATGGACGTTGGGTCGTGCTTGGGCCGGCACAACATGAGTACGCTTCGAGCCCATTTATTTCGTGCCGTATACTTGGCATGACCAGTCAGTTTTCCTGCCATGCCATGCAAGCCTATTTGTTAACTTTGTTAGGCCCGGTCCAGGCCCAGGCACGGTTCGAATTGTGCCGTGCCTATTCGTGCTCGTGTCATGCTTGTATTCGTGTTTAATGAAAAGGACGAAAACAAAAGAGAGAATGAAAAGGAAGGTGAAAATCGGACGGAGGAAGATAGTATTAACCGATAATGTTTTGAGAAAAGTAACAAATAAGGGGGAAAAGAAAATTGGAAGTATAGCGAGTATGATTTGGCTTTGTTTAATTCTTTGTCCATTTTTACTTATGTTAGTAATTACGTATATATATATATATATATCTTTATGACACTTTTAACAACAACAAATAATTATTTTTCTACTTGTGTTTTGTAATATTTGAACCTATACTTCTTTTTATATTTATTTTCTATCAAATAAATATTATTTTCGTACCATGTCCGTTCTTAAACTCAATAAAGTCTCGAAAATATTAGGCCCAACATGGCCCACTTATATACCGTGCCGTGCCTGTGCCCATGAAATTTAGGCCCGGCACGGTCCATAAGTTATTCGTGCTCGTGCCGGGCTGGTCCATTTATTTCGTCCCCATACTCGTGTCGTGCTCTAATCGTGCCGTCACGGCACGGCACGGCCCGGTGCCCACCCAGACAAAAGTAGGAAACCCTGAACATCAAGTGGCAAGGGATCAAGCTACACAACATGTTTGGTGCCTTTCAAATTTGATATGCTTCCAAATGGCATGAATGTATTTGAACCGAAGTGAAACTAAACCTCACCCAACAATAATTATTAAGGGTAGTAATGATATTTTGGCAACGGCTCCTCTTAGAGTGGTCAACTCGGGTCGGTTACATTTAACCGAACCAAAACCCATCAAAACAAAAAACAATTTAAGATGTCCTCATGAAAACTGAAAATAAAAAACTATCTTATCGGATTCGGTTAGAGTAAACGGAAACCAAACGTCAATGCTTTATAGAGTTTTTGTCATTATTATTTTTTTTATTGAAAAAAAGAGTTTGTAACATCCCGAACCTTTTCCTGAGCAAGATATTGTCCGCTTTGGTCCTCGACCCTCACAGTTTTCGACTTGGGGTGCAATTTAAGGTGACTTCCCATAAGGTCATCCATCCTTGTTATACTCCACACTGAGCACGTTTTAACTTCGGAGTTCTCACAAGAACTCCATTTCACCCCAAAACGTGTATTGTCAGTTAAGGTCAGTTTCTTACTTATGAACCATGGACCTCTCCCGTGCTTTGTCGATGTGGGATTTGCCTAAGGTGTTACATACACCCCCCCTGTGACTCAACTTCATCGTTGAGGTTTGCCCCACCATCGTTCAAGAGGGACGCGGAGAGGCTCTGATACCACTTGTAACATCGCGAACTTTTTCTCGACGAAGATATTGTCCGCTTTGGGCATCCACCCTCACGGTTTTTGACTTGGGGTGCAATTCAAGGTGACTTACCATAAAGTCACCCATCCTTGTTGTACTCCACACTGAGCATGTTTAACTTCGGAGTTCTCCCAAGAGCTCATCTATTTTACCCCAAAACACTCCTTGTAAGCTAAGACTGGTTTCTTACTTATGAACCATGGAGCCTGTTCCGCTGTGCAAACTCGCGTGTTTAATACGCTCCGTTCTCAAGGAAAACAAGAACACAAATCAAAGAACGACTGTCAAATATCCACCTCCGGGCGTTAGCGATGTTGATTAGATCGATGCACCTCTGAATTCTAACCAAGAACGATCGTTACTCGGTTCACACCTCTCCAAACACTGTTTGCAATGTCATCGGATAGAGAATTGTGAATCCAGCATCGAATGACGCCATTACAACGAGCCCATGATTGATAGTGAGGGTCGGTTACCTGAGGCACTTGGATACGACCATCGATGAATTGGGTCTTGTTCTTAGTCTCCAGAGTCAGCAACATGACTTCACTCCAGGTATGATAATTGCCTTCGACGAGCTTGATAGAGATAATGGTGAGTAGCGCACCATCCTGAGGTGGAAGATAGAAAGGATTGAGGTATGGGTTTTCATACGAGGTCATTATGGCCTTGTTCTTGTCGGAGGATTCCTGATCAAAATTGGGTGAATCACTGTCTGTTGCCATTGGTGATACAACAGCAGCTCAAAAAGAGATAAGGGGTAGAAAGGAAAAACGAAAGAGTCGAGTGAAGAGGATGACAGATCTTAGCACGACGAGCAGCGCTCTGAGACCATAAGAAAATTTCCAAAAGAAGAAGGAATGGGGAATTGCTCATACTAAGCTTTCCATTGCGCAGAGAGTATATACAATTTACGGAGTGAAAAAGCAAAAGAGCATCTACCTAGCCGTTAACTTTACCGTAAGCTATAAACAAATGAAAGCTTTACACATGTAACTATATACAGTAATTTCTACAACGCTGTTCTTTAGCACGAAACGGTGCATTGCCTCTCTGCGTCGTCATTTTCCTTTTCTTGTGCTAACCCTGTTCTTCGTGATTCATCAGTGAGACTTCTCCTGCAGCAGGGCCAACACAACAACTAGCTTGTTGATTCCATAATCAACTGGAGCTTCAACATCATCATCTTCAATGCTCCTTGTTACCCTCCCACAAGATGGCGAGTATAGGTTATATACTCCCAACTTGGACAACAACATCTGGAACCGATCGATTGACAAACTCTTGGTGAATATATCTGCCAATTGCAATTCTGTTGGAACATAATGAAGTGAGATCAAACCAGACTGAAATCTCTCCCTTATAACATGGAAATCCACTTCTATATGTTTTGTCCTTTCGTGAAAAACATGATTTTCTACTATATGGATTGCAGATTGATTGTCACAATAGATTGGCACTGGTTAATGATGTGAAATCCCAAAATATGCAAGCAATCTAAGTAACCACTGCACCTCACAACTCAGGCTGGCCAATGCCCTGTATTCTGCTTCTGATGATGAACGAGATACAGTAGTTTGCTTTTTGCTTTTCCAACTAGGGGTTCTAAACCCCAAATCCTAGTTTTAGGGTTTACTATGTATGTATGTATGTATGTATGTATGGATATTTTAGAGTTTGAATGAATGAATGTGTTTGTCTAGTTGATTTTAATGCTACTCTTTCCTAAATGATTACGCTTGGGTAAGTCGCCTTAATATTCCCTCTTAGCCTACTTTATGCTACCGCGCTGGGTATGGAGTTTTAGAGTTTGAAATAAGAATACCCAATTGTAAATAAGACCAACGTGCCTCCAACGACCTCAACAAAATGACATCCCATTCCTAAACCACTAAGTTTAGCTCCCGCCTATGGAGCTAAAAAGCCAAAAAGCCAAATATAGCTCATTTTGGTGCTCTAGCCCACAAAATAAATGGTTGTCAAATATGGGTATGGTGATTTTGAGAGCTAAATTTAGCTCTTCTTTTGGGTGGAAAGCCAAATATGGTTGGGGAAATGAGGTGATCCCGTCCGCTGGCTGAGACAACCATTTGGACAATCCCTCTATTCCCAATGCGTACAATCAATTGACCAAATAATTCCAAGAAAGCGACGACTTGAGGTTTTACGGAGTAAGATCCTTAAATCAACAGGATTAGGTGCACGAAGGTAAGTGGCCCCGTACATGTTGATAATGTTGTTGTAAAACTTTCTAAAGACATCCATTAAGGTACTCTCACCCATACGAACATACTCATCAAGTTAACCAGAGAGAGAACCATATGCTAGCATGCGCATAGCACCAACAAGCTTCTACTCTAGAGATAGTGAAAGTTGACCAAAGCTATCACGGCTTAGAGAAAAAGAGGGGTCAAACCTCACAATGTCGCCCATAATGCGATGTAAAAATATTAGATGCATCCAAAAGCGCCTTCTGAATATGCGAGCATTGTATACTGGATTTGGATCGAAGTACTCCCTCATAAGACGTCGATTACATTCGGTCCTTTCACAATCAAAGTGACTTCGGCTTGTAGTTTGATGTCGACTCGATGAACCTTCAGCCAGCCTCTGACTGATTAAACTCAATTAATGTAGGGGGTGAAACCTTTCTTACTCTTCGATTTCTTCTCCTCCTCCAGGCGATGAGCTATCTAAAATACTCATGATGAATGTGTTTGGTTTAGAAATGGGTAGAAGTTTCAAATGACTTGATGAAAATTGAAGAACTCTCGTTTATAAAGACATATGATATCGAAATGACAAAAAAGATCGTAAAGTAACGAATATAAAAAACGATCATATTTGGAGTGGTCCCGAAGTTAACGATTAATTTTTCAAATTTTGTTTTCTCGGAATTTACAAAAAAAAATTACATAAAAAATTTTGTTTTCAAAAGTAATAACGAACTATGCAAAAAATAAAGTGACATATTAAATTAGAGGCCGAGTAAGTATGGTTTATTAAAATAAATTGAAAAAGGAAGGTGGGAAGTTAAATTTAGTTTTTTATAGGGTTGGAGTGAAAATGGGAGTTTGGGTGCTAAACAACCATATTTTGCTATTTGGAAAGCTAAATTTGGCTTTGTGTGTTGGAGTTAGTCTAATAAAGCATAGGCGGGTACTGATTCTAGGGACATTAGTATTCCTTTCCTCTAGGATAGGCCTATTTCGGACCCAACCTTATTGTTGACAGCACAAGTAGACAGGACCAATATCAGAACACACCACTTCATTTAATTAGGGAAAAGATAACCGAATTATCCTTCCGTGAATCCCTCCCACAACAGCAAATTCAAAATGTTGCAATTTCAATGCACAAATCCTAACACTAATATAAAGAGGTTCTCTATGAGAACATAATTAATTCTAAATTTCGAGTCTTCTGAGTGTATTTAGGAAGGACATCTTTGTTATTTTAATTGATAACACCTAAAACAGAATACTTTATTAATTATACTAATGAAAAATAAAAAGATTTCGTTGATACGTAAAACCAATATTAAAATATTACTTTAGTTAGGAAATATAGTATTTCTTTTAGCCAAGATGTGTGCAGTGCCAATTTTCAATTTAATTTAATTTTATTAGAAGATTAAGAGTTTGAGACAAAGTCTTATATGTGAGAGTTTTCTAATTAACTAATTATTAATAACTTAACTAAATACACCAATATAACTTTGAATTTGAGGTTTTTGATAAAAACATATACAAAATTAAAAGGACTTTGATACGTTCATGTCATGGTGACATGCAATTTTCGGTCGACCTCATATAGGATTAGGTCAACCTAATATGTTGTTTCAGTGTAAAAATAATTTCATAGTGCCTACTTTGGAGATTCATATCTTACAATTGGCTAGATGGAAATTGGAGATCAATGGCTTGTTTTCAATCTGGCTTGTTTTGAAGCTGAAGTGTCCCTCTACACATTAAAGTACTTGGGAGCTCAATAAGAAGTCCAGAACACCATTTTTGAACCTGATCAAAAGGCTATGCCAAAACTTGGAAACTGCCTGAAAATGGCCGAGTCTGGGAACGTGTTTGTGAAGCCTACTTTGGAACTCAATTCGAGAAGCATGGATGTGAATCGAGTCCAGGGGCCTCTACCACGTTAAATTATGTATGTTTTTATGCAAAGTCAAGGCATTGGATGAAAGATTGGATATCTGTAAGGCTTCAAACAAAAGGGTCGAAGTTGCTACGAAGGCTGTTTTTCTAGCAGCTTGCTTGTGCTCGAAGTCTGCCAGAAAACAGTCTTCGTAGCAACTTCGACCCTTTTGTTTGAAGCCTTACATATATCCATTGACTTGACTTTGTATAAAAACATACATAATTTAACATGGTAGAGGCCCCTGGACTCGACTCGCATCCATGCTTCTCAAATTGAGCTCCAAAGTAGGCTTCACAAACATGTTCCCAGACTTGGCCATTTTCAGCCAGTTTCCCAGTTTTGGCATAGCCTTTTGATCAAGTTCAAAAATGTTCTTCTAGACCTCCTATCGAACTCCTAAGCACTTAAATGTGTAGAGGGACACTACAGCTTCAAGACAAGCCATTAATCTCTAATTTCCATCGAGCCAATTGTAAGATATGAATCTCCAAAGTAGGCACCATGAAACTGTTTTTACACTGAAACAACCGATTAGGTCGACCTAATCCTAAACGAGGTCGACCTAATCTTACATGAGGTCGACCTAATCCTAACTGAGGTCGACCGAAAATTGCAAGTCACCGTGTCATGCATGTCACCGTAGACGCACCCTAATTAAAAACCAAAGCGTTAATAAGAATGATAATGTTGAGAAGGTTTATGAATATAATTATTTAATTAATTATTAGTGTATTCCTCAATTATATTTTTGGGTATTGATTTTTTTAGAGTTACGAAATGTAGATCACAATCTCCATCTAGAAACTAGAAGTTCAAAGTTTAAAATCAATAGCTAGATAATTTGATTCTTAAGTTCATTTTTCGGAAAATGAAAAAAATTATGAGATCATACCACCTTAGATCTAGGTTTGTGATGTATAGTTTTCTTTTATCATGGTAGCAAATTAGAAACTCCGGTTGCTTTCTTTTTTTTTATAATTTTGCTTGGTTTTGATCAAATATTAGTAAAAGAATTATATTTGTGAGATGATAATTCTTATCAAAACTTTATTTAACAGTAACATATTAATTTTTATGTTATAACTGCTTCAGTATTATTTTGAGTGTTTAAGTTACGCTAGATTATTATTGAGTACTATATTTATTGATTCTACAACTCAAAAATATATTCATTTTGGAGAATCATCTTATTGACAAAACAGTGTTCCAATACAATCTTCAAACAACCAAGTAAAACGGATGACTTTTGGTGCACAACCTCATTTAGTTATAGCTGCAAAAATCTCAAGAGCTATAGTTAAGAGATTTTTAATCTCATGCGCATTTAGCAGATTATATTTCATTTGTTTCAACACTTATTTAAAGTTGGTTAGAAAAACCATTTTAATTCAAACTTGCCAAAGAAAAGTTGTAGAAGACTTTGATGACTAATTTTATAAGAATTTTACAACAACACCAAAGACAATAGTAGTTAGGTAAAATTTTTACCTCTATTCTTCTATTGTTTTTAACTTCAAGTTAATTCATTAGAGAGCGCACCCACTAAAACATAAAGTTTTTTTTACCAAATAATGTATCTCAATTATTTTTATTTTATATATTCAGGATTAGCTGTGAGTTGTAGACAATATATGTTTAATCTAACTTCATTGTTCTATACAGCGAGGAAGCTATAATTTTTGGAATATCTATTGAGAAACTACTGAAAGATAGTGACAAAATGAGAGAACCGTCACCTCCTCATCACATACAAACAGAGAGAATGAAGTTAAATTTTAGATCAAGCCCACTGATTACGATATTGTGAACCCCATACGTGGGTACATAGTTTTGAAGATAATGAAAGATGAAGTAGAGCGATCTCAGACAAAGTTCATGACATGTATTAGGTAAATTTAAGTTTGAGAAAATGAAAATTTTCACAATAGAAAATTTTTTGCCATTAAACTTTTGCATTAAGTGAAATGTAAGAGAATAAGGAAGAGTATGCTAATATCAAGGGCGATAGATGTTGTATGAGGTGAAATTATACTAACGTGAAAAGATGTTTCACATTACCAAACTGTTTACTATTAAAAATTGGTTATTAATGAAATGCAAGAGAAGAAAGAAGAGACTATTGATGGTGAATATTAATTTGTGTGGAGAAGATGCTCTTGATGGCCGACAATAAAAAAGAAATATAATAGAGAATTTGTTGTAAGTTTTAATAACAAAGAGTAAATTGTACTGCGTTTTGAATATAAAGTTTTTTAGGAATCAACTTCATGCATGAGTTGTGTCTCTTACATTTATTCATGAGTTTTGTCCATTAATGATTGTAAACTACCGAGGTTAACATAAGCTACCCGTATGTGCAACTAGAACCTTTTGCGAGATGCACCATGATTCAGACTAGTTTGTAAAACTTCGTGTATTCCAAATTTTACGACTTATACCCAGATAGATATGCATTACCCAGTGTGGGGATTAATAATAAACTATTTTCACACGTAAATACCACCACCTTGCCGACTCTGCTCACTGTAGCCGGGGGGAAAAAAAACAAACTGCTCATAAGCCATTCTTTGGAGGGAATTTCACATGGTAAGTAGAGTTTTTGGCCTCATAATCACGCCTAACATATGTAGAAACAACTACAGCCTGCATTTAGGATATTGGCATCAACAAAAACATGTCAAGGGGACAAAAGTAGCCAAAACAAATACAAATTCTGTCGAACGGACGACTTCAGATTCCAACAGTTGGAAACTGGTGTTCGATGGAGCAAAGCAATCTATGTGATGACAGTGGGAGCAGACCGGCCGGTGTATGCTTCCATCTTGGAGAGCTTTAAAGCTACCTCCACCTGCGTGAGAAAGAAGAGCACGAGCGTCGCATGTCAATGAGAAGCTGAATTGATAATACATCATTTAATGGCTTTAGCTTTTGGGGAAAGGGGAGTTTCCAAGTTTACCAGAGGAGAAAGTGCTTCTTGAGAATCTCTCCCGATCTTTGATGGGTCCTTCTCATACTGTTCAATGTAGAGGCGGATGGTTGCACCCACTGATCCTGTTCCTGAGAGGCGGAAAACCTGCATGCATCCCCACGCATTTCAGGAGAAAACAGCAGTGAGAACAGAAAACGAAATGGAGCAGATGGAACAGTAGGAGTTGTTGAATCTCGATTCGCATGGGGGCTGCGTCTCCTAACGGAGAAGGACAAGCGGTAACCACGTTAAAAGGATGTGGAGCTTACCAGTCGAGAGCCATCCTCAAACAGATATCGAACACCCTGGTGTGCAGAGATGGAACCATCGACGGGATCTTTGTATTCAAATTCATCAGCGTGGGCGACCTTGGAGACATCTGACCGTATCCCCTTCACGGTCCTGCATTCAGAATTACTACTTCAGGTATTGCATTATGGCCAGAGCAACATGCTAAATTATAAAGTGAACTTCATCAGACAAACCCATCTTTTAGGCACATATAGAAGTCTATCTCATCACTGAGAGATGGGGATGGGGCGGTTAAGCGTTTCAGATGAGTTTAAACAGGAGGGATGGAAGAAGAATCGCTTCCCATTTAACTTTAAAGAGGGGGAAAAACTGTTATCAAACATTGAAAGTTCAACTGTAAGAGGTTTTCAGGTCACATAGGACATACTCATTAACTGCAGAGAGATTGGATTGAAGGTTGACCAAGTTCTCCATCAGTTCTTTCGCTGCACCTGCATCGACATTCTGCAGACAACCAGGAAATATGAGTCAATTAAAGACTTGGTGTTCCATATAGACTAGACTACATACTAACGAATATTTTAATCAAGGAAACTTAGTAGTACCTCATAATCATAACGAGTATAATAGTGACGACCATAAGTAGCCCAGTGCTTGCGAACTATATCTTCTACTGTCACAAGCTTTCCACCACTGAGATTGTCCTTATTTTTGTAAGCCAATATGGATAGCCAAGCCAGGACGGCCCAAATACCATCTTTCTCACGAATATGGTCAGAGCCTGATCACACATAAAGCAGCCATAAGACAACTTCCAACTTTCTGAAACATCACATCTCAAGTAGCATTCAATAAACAGGGACTAAATACGAACCAGTTCCGAAACTTTCTTCACCACACACTGAACATAAACCAGCATCCATCAAGTTACCAAAGAACTTCCAGCCAGTGGGGACCTGGGATAGAATAGGCAAAGCTATATGAATACATTACAGCAGACTCGGCCAGAACTCCTTTCAGAGGAAGTTTGTAATATAATACCTCAAAAAATTTCAAGTTCAGACTTTTGGCCACAACATCAAGGGCAGCTGATGTTGGCATGCTCCTGCAATGGAAAAACATTAAAAAGAGGAAGCATAGGAAGATACAGCTTTATAAGATTCATAGGAGATTAACCATATAAGATGTGTGAGGCATCCATTAAACTTTCAAGATTTGAAATCCCCAACCAGAAGTCTATATTATATTGACCACACCGACAAGAACATGACTCATACTAGCTAAGGACAAAGAACAAACATTTGTCAAAAAGAAACAGAGCCGAACTACACATGCATCCAATGCCCCTATTACTACACAACTCTGTTATAACACTCAATTTCCAAGATTTATTCGGACTTTTAGCCCAACAAATCAACTAAAAATAGTCTTACTGGCCTACAGTCTGGAATATGCCAAGTGACTTGGTTGGCAAATTCCGATACTTGAACGACAAAATCCAAAACAACTATAACTTAATGTGATAAAGTGAAAAAAAAGCGTGCATCTACATAAACATAGGTAGCAAACCGAAGTACAGTGTCTCACCTGGCAACTCCCTTGAGGCCAGAAGAGAAGTAGGGGATGGATTCAACTGCATTTGCAGCAATTATAGCCACAGAATCTGATGGGGTAACAAAGAACCTGAAAGATGCAAACTATCAGTAAAATTAAACTGCAACAATATTCCGAGTATCATTATTCATTACCATTTGGTACCTTTTACCCAGGATCATGTTGCGATCTGCATCACCATCTGCAGCAGCCCCAAATTCTGGTGGTTCAACATCAGTGTTTGATTTTCCCAGCCCCATCCTTGCAACTAATTCCTTTGCATACGTGAGGTTAGGATCAGGATGGCCTCCTCCAAAGTCTTCCTGCATTTAAATATGCAGAACGATTGTAGGTAAAATTATTGGGATGCAACTGCAGGATTCGTACCCACTAAGAAATTGTGATGGCCTACCTTAGGGACACAGTTCAACAATGCAGACTCCTGTGCACCAAGCTCCTCCACAAAAATGCGATGCGCATAAGCACCAGCAACTCCATGTAGTGCATCGTAGCTTCAAAATGATAATCACAGCTATTTGTCAAGGAATCATTAGAAAACAGAGTTGAAAATGCTAATGAAAGGATGCCAGCAGGATACCAAAAACTGAAGTTTGGAGATGTGATCAGCTTCTTGATTGACTGAAAGTCAAAGATAGTCCTGGGACAGTTGAGAGTACAGTCAACATCTTGAAGAACAGATAATCAGCAGTTAAAATACGTACTTAACAAAAGACTAATTCTGAATCCTTCCTGAAATTGTATGATGGGAATCAAGTAATAGTTGAATTTTTGAATATGTAATCCTGACATATTCATATATAGAAATATACCAGAAACCATTGCGTATACAATTATTTCAAAAGCATACAAGAGTATCTTGATGGACGGATGAAAGCATATAAATATTTTCGTTAAGGATTGTGTATGCAAATAACTTGACAAGTAAATCCAAGCGAACTGAGAATTCTTAATAGTTAATAGTAACTTGAAGCACAAGTTTTTCAGAAAAAAGGAGCAATATCTTAGAGCCCGACTTTAAAATGCAAAATGGAGGAAACTCCTCAATATTACCAAAAATCAGATTCTAAAGCCTTTCCTTTACCTTTTCCTTTTGTTTCATATTTGTTAATCTTGCTTCAACAAAATGGCGAGCTACCATCTGATTAGTTCAACTACCGAGATGATAACCTTCTTCATTTGATGTTACTAGCTATTCAGGACCACCACCAATCTTAATCTGCTACAGTTTATGTCTTCAATCTAAGGCCAAAATGCATTGTCTACTCATGTGCTAAGAAAATATGGGATAAGAGTACATTTCGGAGACGAGTTAAGAGAAGAACTGCTTACTTCATCAATTTTACATAATCACTTGCGGAGTCAAAAACTTCCACATCAAACTGTCCCTCCGGTCCTGAGAAGCTTGTAACACCAATTGAAGAAATGTCTACCTGAATGCAAGAACTCAACATGATGTAAGTATAACACGGGCATTCAAGTATATATCTTTATGTATGAAACGAGGTCTGAAAATGCAGAGGAAGCAAAGAATTACATCTGGAACATCAGATGTTAAATACTCCTTTATCGCTTTGGTGTTCTCATAAATTTTATCCGTGATTCCCTCTGGAGCTGGACCACCGTTCTCCATGTTATATTTGATCCCAAAATCCTGGAGAAGAGAGTTCGTAAGAAAAATGCGAGTATGATTGAACATGCCTCCCAAAGTTACAGAATAAAAAGATTTGCAGCCAAATTGAGTCCGCCTAGTTGATTGAGATTTAATAACAAGACATCTATAAAACAAAAAACTAAAGTGGAATCTATTTGTCTCCATTTCAGGGGTCCCAGTGTGTGCACTTTCTTTTATTGAAAAACTCTACTTTCACTGCATCGTTGTAAGATGTCATTTTTTAGGAAAAAGAAAAACAAAAGAACCTTAAGGTTGTTACCTCATCAGGGCCACCTGGATTGTGACTCGCTGTCAATATAAATGCACCTGTTGCCTTGGATCCCTGCCATTCAAGATCATAAGAAGGGCACATGATAGTTAGGCACAAAAGTCCAATCATGAAAAATGGGGTGAGGGGAGAGAGAGCTGACAGAAAACAGTAGCTTACATCTGCTCCAACTCTTTCACGAATCACAGCAGAGACAGCAGGTGTTGAAAGCAACGAATTCTGACCAACCCAAATACGCCTCACTCCATTGGCAGCTGCCATCTTGACAATTATCTGCAAATGAAACAAACAAAAGTTCCAGAAAATTATAAATCGGCATTGACCATAAATATGCAAATGTAAACCTTCCGACATCACGGAGAGCCATAAATTGGTTAAATTATTCTACAGTTGATTCAACTTAAAGACAGCATAAGAGAAAGCCATGTTTCCAGGACCTAGGTTCCACTGGATCTGAGCTAAGAAAGTTATCTGATGACAGTAGGCATGACTAAAAGATGGTTTCTGATTCCTCGCTGCATCTTTGCTTGCATACAGCACCACAAAGTTCTCCAGAATGTAAAATGGGAAAAAGACTACATTTGGGAAAGCATCATATTTAATATCAGCAGCCAACTTAGAATATATTAAACCAACTACATGCCTTCTTCATTCGTTCCACACAACATTTCTGATCATTAACGAAGACATTAAGAGCACCATTTTCTGTACTGCACATTGCTCACTCATCCTAAATCCTCCAATTCTAGTTATATACAGGTTGTCATCAATAGGTGTGAAAACCAAAGTTGATTAGTAATCAGATAATTGCAAAGACTAGAGAAAAGATTTAGCGAGTACAGATGTATGTTATGTGTAATACCTGAACGGCATCCTTAGAATAGTAACGGCCATCTCCAGAAACAACCAGTGTGGCACCTGCATATCAAAACACATAGACCAAGAGACAAAGGAGTTATTCCATTTACCATCAAACGTCAAGCTTCTTAACATACGGTAATAAAACCAGGTTGCAGAAAATGAAGCCAATGGTCAATCAACTGTACTAGTCAATCAACTCAAAAACCACCATCCTTTGCAAATACATATGTAAAAGAAAATCATTCCTCTGCAAACCATCATAAACGTCAATGGAACTAAAAATCCATAAGCAGTTTGCTCTACCTCAATTACAGTAAAGTAAAACATAAGCCGGACATCATTAAGCTTTTTTCACCACGGATGATCCGGAATTTATAAAGAAATAGCGATCTGAACTAATGGCCAAACATTAGAGCACAGGAGCGGAGGACGATGAATTGCAGTCAACTGCTAGGAGCTGTCACGCCTAGATCAGAGGGAGCAACAATTCACTATTTCAAATTTAGAACGATTCAATGGCATGAACAGAACAAGGACACCAAAGACACATCGGAACTGGCAGATTTGTCATTTCAATTTTTCATAGCAGCTTATTGAAAAACTATACCTCTCACTTTCTCTGCCGTGAGGGCATTGAATGTTGATTGAACGAAATTTTCCAAGTAATGTGGTTGCTTGAAAACTTTCACCTGGCAATAAAAAGAAGACCAGTCAGCACATAGCGGATCACAATGTATACGACATATCTGCAAGGATATGAGTAAGTAAAAGGGCTCAGTAACCATGATCAAGATCGATACACCAACTAGCTTCAGATCTAAATATACAGAACAACATAAATCCCCCAAAACCAAAGAGGAAAAAAGGCGCAAAAGTCACCAAATCAATAATCTGTACTAAGATCACGCTCACAGGATCTCATCTCGAAGGATCTACATGCCCGATCCATTTTCGTACACTACTAGATTCAAGAAAGTATCAACTGCAACGGATCCACGTTCGACCATAAAACAACAATTCACGTCACGAGTGTAACTGAATCGTGATGCAGGACGAGCATCCGAATTCCCGGTACGAATGGATTAACAAAGAAATGCGACAAGCAGCGACAACGATAGATACAAAGGAAAAGAGAAGCAGAGGGAAACCTTCTTTCGGAGGCCAGAAGTTCCGGGCTTCTGGCCATCGATAGGCGAAGACTGAACAGTGGAGACCTTGAACGGCATTGCTTTCTAGTGGTTTTCTCCCCTGCAATAGATTTTGGAGATCAGAGTTTTGCTGGCGAAGGTGAAAGCGGGAGAAAAGACAGGGAGGGTGAGATGAAGGAAGGAAGGAAGGAAGGGAGGAAGGAGTTACGGTTACGCAAATGGATGGGAAATGGGCGCTTCTGGAGAAACGGAGAGAGAGTGGTGTAGTGATGGATGCCGATCGCTCTCTCTCTGGGTGGCTTTTATAATTTGTTTTTTCGAGAACGAATAGATCCAGAAAACCATGGGAAAGACAGAAACAGACACATTGCTGCGAAACACGTGGCGATTTGTGTAAAATCAAAGTCCGAGAGAGTCTCGGTAAATATTTTATTGCGAGCATTATAGGGGTGGCTATATAAACCATCCTTGATATATTGATTGATCCGTTTCGGCTGGGAAGATGTACCAACAATTTTTTATTAATAATATTTTCACAGGTTTTCATTAAAAAAAATAATATTTGTATAGCCAAAATTTTGACGTTTGTGACAATGATAGTTACTTTTGAGAAAATACCAATAATAGCCAAATTTTTGAATGTTTGATGACAAATATAGCCATTTCAGTTACATAATTTGACGCCGTTATCGACACCGTTAGTCAAATTAACAAAATGCTTATTTGGCTGCCAACTTACCCTCTCTTTTGTTTCCACCTCAACCTCCAATGACAGGTGGATGCCACGTCATATTAAAATTTCAATTTGTTAACAAATATTTATAAAAAAAAATTATTGTCATATTCTTTCCCCTGACTTCATCTTCTCCCAACAAACCCCCTCTCCCACTCAGCTCCAACCTCTTTCTCTATTGTTCCCTTTCATTCACCCAACTCCCACAACCATCATCTTCAACCTCTAGTAAGTAAAACCAAAAAATGAACCAAGGTTGTTTTCTTCATTGCACCAAACAAATGTCTTTGTTTGTTTGTTTGTTTTTTTGTGGGAAAATGGGGCGCTAAAAGGGCACCCCTGCCTGACACTTAAACAGAGCGAGTCTGGGCAATGCCCATAACATCATACATAGTCCAGTAACGAAGACCTGGATCTGAAAGACTAATCTCATGGGTCCCTATACTAAGGCAATGACCTTTATTAGCTAGATAATCTGCCACTTTGTTACACTCTCTATAGGTGTGATAGAAACCTGCGTTTCTATCTAATTAGCAATTGAACTTATTTGATAGTTTATAAAGGTTTATGGATTTATTAGGTAATTGGGAATTTAGATTGGGGGTTTAATAAATTGGGGTAGTTATCGGTAATTAGGAATTGTTATTTAAACTATTTTCTACGTTGAATGAGATTATGGACTAATTAAACCTAAACCTAGCAGCTAATCCCTCTCCCTATCTTCCTTCTCAGCCGACCCCCTTCTTCCTTCCTTTCCTTCTGCTTCTTCCGCCGCACCACATCACTCCCCTCCCCTCCTCTAATTCCCACTTTCCTCTTCTTTTCCCTATCACCCACGCAGCACCAGGAGCTTCTCTAAAGGCTCTCACCCTCATTTTCCAACCATTTTTCCATTGTTAGATAGAACCCTAATAACGGGTTTCTATCATCTGGTATCAGAGCTCAGGTTCTGACTACTGAGTTCATCGCAACTCTACACCGGGACGGGCAGCAGCACCATGGCGATCAACAAGTCACCGGCAGAGAAGTCCGACGCGGGATCCAAGGCAGCGGCTACGACCAAGGCTTCCCCACCCTTGGCGGACAACCGGCGGGAAGGAGTCGTGGTGGACGAGACGGAGAGTGACGATCTCCAAGCCTCGATGCGCACCATCATGGCCATGCAGCTGAGGACCGACGCCAACATGGAGGAGGTACGGGCGGAGGTGGAAGAGGCCAGGCGGGAACGTGACGTGATCATGCAACTCCTCACCAGCATGCAGGAAGAACAGAGGAGGTTGGCGGCGGCATTGGGGCTCGGCGGGGGAGATCGGAGCGGGGTGGAGGCACCTCGGCCAAACCCAGCGGCGGTGGCGGGGCCTCGCGCGCGCGCGGGAGGAGGAAGCGCGGCGGTCCCGGCGGCGAGCGGGGCTGCGGCGACCTCGGCGGCTGGCGGGGCGGCGATGGGGCCAGGAGGAGGGTCGGCCGCGGCCAGCGTAGGGCAAGCGACGGTCGAACGAATGGGCCTCGATGCTGAAGGGGCTCGTAATGGGCCCGGGCTACTACCGACTCCGACTGCTGAGGAGATCGCGGCCTTACGCGGCAAGGCGAAGATGCGGGGCTACGACAACGTGGTCCAGAACCCGTGCTTTAACCAAATGGGCCCACACTCCATGGAACCGGAGATGGGCCGAGTGCAGCCGGTCGGGAGCGGGTACGATCGGGCAGGCGGGGCGGATCGGGCTCTGGTGATCCAACCGGGCCCAAATGGTCGGACCGGGCCAGGTTGGGCCGAAAGCGGTCGGACCGAGGCTGGGTGGACCGAAGCCGGCCAGCCCGGAGCTGGGCGGACCACCAATGGGCGAACCGAAGTGGGCCGATTTACAAACGAACCCCACCGGTTCGGGCTGACTCCGGATGGCCGACCAGTGGCTGAATGGCGGGCCCAACTGGAGGGTTCGAGTGCCTACGGACCTCCGATAGCAGCAGCAGGAAACCCAGGGGTTCAACCGGGCGGGTACGGAGACTACTCGGGTGAGGCTGGGCATGGCTGGAGTGCAGGAGGCGACGCAGGCGGACCTCCGGGGTATTACCGAGGATATCCCCATGCTGGCAGGTATGGTGGATATGATCGGTATGATGATGAGTATGGGTTGGTGTTTAGGGCCAAGCCCCCGACCATTGAGTTTCCAAAATTCAATGGTCAGGAGGACGCCGATTTATGGTTATATGCAGCTGACAGGTGGTTCCGAAATCACCCGACCAGAGAGGAAAGGAAGGCGCAACTGGCGTCCTTCTACCTGGAGGGAGACGCCCTGCACTGGTGGGAGTGGTTAGAGCGATCCTATGCTGCCGCGCAGACGCTGATTACTTGGCCGATATTTCAGGAGGAGCTTCGCTACCAATTCGGCAAATAAGAAGGCTGGCCCCCAGAGCAGCTGGCCAAGCTCAGGCAGACCGGTTCGGTAACTGATTACCGAGCAGAGTTCCTCAAATTGGGGAACCAGTGCAAAGGAGTTCCAGAAGAGACCCTGGTGGGGATGTGCATGGAAGGTCTAAAGCCTGAGATTGCTGCGGCAGTCAAGATTTTTGAGCCAGACACCTTGCGGGCTGTTTTTCGTCTTGTAGGACACAAGGAGGAGGAGCTGGCGAGCTGGAGGAACGCCATAGGGCGATATCCCAAGCCGGGAGGAGGAGGCCACACCGGTGCAGGAGGTAGCAGGAGTGGCAGCACTGCTACTACTGCCAGTGGCGGGGCTGGAGCGGCACCAGGCGCAGTGGCCCCGGCAGCCAGGCTAGGGCCGAGGGCTCCGCCTAAGGGCTTTGTTCGGCTAAGTTCAGCGGAGATAGATCAGAAGAGAAGAGAAGGCAAGTGCTTCAACTGCGATGAGCGATTCACCATTGGACACAAGTGCGCGAAGCTGGACTTGATGATGCTGGTGGGAAGATGGGAGGATGAGGCCGAGGACGATGCGGTGGAAGGCAAGGGTGAAGAGCAGGTGGAGGACTGGCAACCTTGAGGACAAGGTTGATTCGAAGGAGGCGGGGATGATAGAAACCTGCGTTTCTATCTAATTAGCAATTGAACTTATTTGATAGTTTATAAATGTTTATGGATTTATTGGGTAATTGGGAATTTAGATTGGGGGTTTAATAAGTTGGGGTAGTTATCGGTAATTAGGAATTGTTATTTAAACTATTTTCTACGTTGAATGAGATTATGGAATAATTAAATATAAACCTAGCAGCTAATCCCTCTCCCTATCGTCCTTCCCAGCCGACCCCCTTCTTCCTTCCTTTCCTTCTGCTTCTTCCGCCGCACCACATCACTCCCCTCCCCTCCTCTAATTCCCACTTTCCTCTTCTTTTCCCTATCACCCACGCAGCACCAGGAGCTTCTCTAAAGGCTCCCACCCTCATTTTCCAACCATTTTTCCATTGTTAGATAGAACCCTAATAACGGGTTTCTATCAATGTGTGACTAAGAACTACTTCCCAATCCCGATTCAGAATGTTGTGGAATTTCCTAACCAAGATGAAGTAGCGGTTGTCTTGGTTATGATCATTCATGAGGAGGGTAAGGGCCGTGGTGGAATCTGTCTTGAGAATAACTTTCCTACAACCCATCTTCCAAGAAAGCTCAAGACCGTCAATGATCCCAAAAAGTTCCGCTCTTGTGATGGTACACTCGCCCAAATTGGTTGCGAAGGCTCCAATGCATCTTCCAAGCTCATCCCTGATGACGCCTCCCGCTGCTGCTCTTGAGTTCTGTTGTCTGACGGAGCCATCAATCTGAACAGAGAACCAACCTTCTGGCGAGGGACTCCAAAAGAGCATTTGAGTGGACTTGCACGGCGCCTGAATATGGCTTTTAACATCATCCTCCATGGCGTTGGATACAATCTTGGTTCAGCTAGTAATCTTCTGCACAACTGCTACTGGGTTTGAGATTTTTTTCTCAAATACTGCTTCATTCCTCTATTTCCATATATGCCAAAGAGTAATGCCATAGTGTAGGCCCGTTTCCTTATCATTGAGATTACATCGCAACCAATATGCAAAATACACAGGTGGATTAAGAACTTGATTCGGGGTTCCAAGAGCACGCCAAATCTGCAGAGCTATTGGGCACTCCCTGAGAAGGTGTTCGTTGGTCTCCGATCTTGACTTGCACACCTGGCAGACATCAGAGTGTGCCAGATGTCGTCTCTTTCTCTCGCAATTCGTCAAGAGCCTGTCGTGTTGCAGTATCCAAAGGAAGTGTTTAATACGACTGGGGCCTGCCCACCTCCATATGTCTTTCCACTTATGTGGTGCAGTAGAAATCTGGCCGTCATCTGCATCATTTCCCAGCCAGTGCACAGCTATAGCATATGCTGATTTAAGTCTGAATTTTCCATCTGCTTCGAGACCCCGGATGGTTTGATCTTCTCCTAGGTCGGGGTCGGAAGGATTGGTACCTGCAATTTTCAAAACCAGAGAGCGGAGAAGATGCGGAGTTATATCATTCCATGCCCACTTACCTACATCCGTTGTTAGTTCGGCAACCGAGGCTTGGAGATTGACCCCAGGGGCATGGGTGGTAAGGTGATCAGCAAGCACCACTCCCCCTAGAAGCCATGGTTGAGTCCAGAATGCAGTATTACTTCCTCCCCTCACATCCCAAACTACACCATCCTTCATAGCAGGCCAGGCTTTGTTTTCAAAATAATAGAAAGTTGCAAGAAATAATGACCACATTTCATCTTTGTGAAAAGCTCACTTCCCCATTTCTCTAACTCTGTTTCGTCGGCCTTCTGCCATGGTGAAATAATCTCTCTTGTTTCTTTCTCTGCTAGCAAACAAGGAAAAGAAGCACCCCCTGAAGAACCCTTTTCCTTCTTCCCTTTCTTGCGAATTGAATTCTGTATAAACATCCCATCGGTTAAGAAATCGGCGAGATCGTCCCGTTTCAAGACCTCAATCTCTCTCTGGTCCCGGCCGTCAACAACGGTAACACCAGCGTGCCTCACTCAGCGGGAATGATAACTAGACAAGCGAGAATTAAAGAGAGAGAGAGAGAGAGAGAGAGAGAGAGAGAGAGAGAGAGAGAGACGAAGGCATATAATACCTTTCACCGCCGGAGATCTCGAGTACAACCTACCGGGGCGGCCGGAGAAGAAGATAACGACGGCGATGGAGGGGGGGCATCCATTCGCATCGACGGCCGCCAGCAATTTGCCAAGCGGAACGACCCTGTATCTAGTTGATTTGGGAACACCATTATGAGAACAGAGGCATCCCCATCACCTTCGACTCATGCCACCGCCTTCTGAAAATATGTGGTCGCGAGACTATGTAATCCCCGCGCCCAGCTCGCTGTCGCTACTATTTCTGTGCCCCCGCCCAGATCTGGATTTGGGGGTTTACAAATTTGGTCAACGCTACTGTTGATTCTAATCGTCACGTCACTACAAATTTGGGGGAAGATCAGAGGGAAGAGAGAGGTGGAAGATCTGAAGTCGGAGATTGGCAATGATGTGTGTGAGAGGAAGATCAGAGGGAAAGGAAGGGGAAGATCGGAGACGGAGGGAGATTGAAACCCAGATTTGACTTGTCTTCTCTGATTGAAAACCAGATTTCATCTTCTTTTCCCCCCGACTTCATCTTCTCGATTGAAACCCAGATTTGATGCTTTCGAGATTCATCTTCAGAAACCCAGATTTGCAGCAATGGGAGGAAGTTGATGCCCTTCGATTGATTGACCCGAGGGAGCACCACCGCCGAATTTTAATTGAACGAGAGTTTCGGCTAGGGAAGGGATGGGGAAGAAGAGAGATGGAGAGAGAATAAAATATATTTATTTTTAGTTTCCACCTCGTATTTTTAATTGACTAACGGTCGCCAACTCAGCAATGACGTTAGTCCAGTCAGCCCGTTACTTGACGCCGTTAAAGAATTGGACATAAGTGGCTATACTTGGCCAAACCGTCAAAGTTTTGGCTACACAAGTGTATTTTGCCAATAAAGAAAAAACGATCCGATCAAGTTAAATTGGATTGAATTGATCCGGTCCTGGTCTGGTATTTTTGGGAATATAAGGACCAAAAATTGAATTGGATACAATCCGGTCTGGTCCGGTCTGGTCCCAATTTGGTCTTGATTTTAAATTTAACTTGTGGGGATTTGAGTTGCCTGAGACCTAAAAGGATGAGGAGTTGGTTAAGTTTTGGGTGTTGGGCTCACTTATCCGGTTTTCGGTCCGGTTTTGGTCTGGTCTTGCTCCGATTTATACAGTCCAGTTTTGAGTAAAACCAAAAAGCCTGGACCAAATAGCCACCCCTAGAGCATTATAAGTCTTCTGTTTCAATCTCACTTCCTTTTCTCTCTTCTTTCGAGTCCGAACCTGGATCCTTGGCAAGCACCACTACTAGAAGGTTCAAGATAACACCAATACGGCGGTTGGTGATCTCCTCACTTCTCTTGCCAACCATATAGAACCATAGCTACATCTAAACACTATCTATATTCACAAAATAATAACAAGCTATGAAAGCACAAGTGTAAAAAGAACAGAAAACGGAAAATGAACAAACACTTAACACAAGATAACTATTATGGGACAATCCAAATACCACATCGGTAATACAAGAAGAGAAGGAACGATTGTATATAAGTGTCCACTTATCCCAATTAGCACGAGGCCTTTTGGGGAGGACTCCCAAGAGTAAAACCGTGCGGGCTTGGCCCAAAGCGGACAATATCGTACTAATTGAGCTATCTGGTTTCGACAATAACTAAATGGAACATAACAAAAGAAGAAATGATAAGGAAAAGAAAATACGACATCAAGAACACAAACTTGAGATTCCCCGGCAATGGCACCAAAAACTTGATCGCTTGTGTGATCAAGTTTTAAATTTATAAGTCGATACACAATCTCTATTTAATCCTAACTAAGCCAAGCATAACCTAGTTAGGGTTGTAGTAAAGTGGCTCGATCGTATTCCAAAGGAACCCTAAGCTTACTATTACTTCACTCCGAATTACTATCTAATCAGTTCAAAGGTTTGGTGAAAATCTAATCTAATCTACTCCTAAAGGCAAAGTAAACAACCAACCAAGTGGTTGGGAGATTCCCCTATTTATAGCCGGTACGTTGAGTTAATGGATAAGGTACGAAACTATCTGATCTGGGATTTCTCCCACCTTCTAGCGTTACCCACAAAGACTCAATGTCACCTCGATCTAAGTTTCCTCGCTAGTGATGCTCTCTTAGTTCCTTCAAGTAGGTTCAACCTATCACACACTACTAAGAAAATTCCAAAAGCATTGTTCTAGGAAGGCCCCATAGAGGCAGGAGTTCGGTCTCCTCGTCCACCTCAAAGCCCTAAGATAACTCACTATCATTAGTTTGCCAGATGGCGCATGCTCGTCTAGCTCTAAAACTCCTTACCTAGCGTAGTAGCTCAAGTAGGCTAGTAGAGAAGATTAGAGAGACTTATCCAAGCATAACTACCTACACATGATGCATAAAATCACTAGAAAAATATACCCATATATAAACTCATTCAAATATCAACATACAATCTAGGGTTCATCTATTCTAAACAACCATTAGAGAGAGAAAGAAAACACAAACTAGAATAGGGGAGTGATTGAATCAAACTTCTTCTCCTTGCTTACACCTTCTCCTTGCTCCTTGGGTGGATTGGATCTTTAATTAAGCTCTCCCAAAGTGTTTCCCTCTCTAAAAACACTCCAAAACTCTAACTTTCTCACTCTAGGGGAGGCTCCCCCTTGAAAAGTGCAGCAAGACTGGTATTTATAAAAAGATGACGACGGAACTGTGACTAGCCGTGACCAGGTGGAACGTTCCCGAATCGCCCGAAAAGATGCATTTTGAATCCGCCTTTAAGCTCCGAGATCACGGCCTCCTTCATAAGATTGCGATCGTGATCTTTGGGTCCAGGGCACGAACTTTTTCGTGGTAAAATGTGTCATATCCGTGATTCGACTGGTGAAACTTTCTGCCTTCATTTTGGATGCTTGTTGGAGTTCGTAGCTATTGTTCACGACTGCGATCTACAGCCCGCGAACATGGTCACGGCCATGGCGTGTGGCCGTGACCAATGTTCTTCTCCCCTTCTTGCTCCTATGTTTCCCAATCATGTTCAGATGAACTCCAATCAATTCTCGATCAATCCCAAATGCATATAAGACCTAGAAGTCATCACAAACACTTGGGAAAACATAAAACACGACAAAGTGGGGTCGATTCCCATATGAAAACCTTCATATCAAGATACATATGCCAAAACGGATGTTTTGCAAATAGGTATGAAAACACTCACTACCCCAAAGATTTCAAAGAGTTGAATCATAAAATCGTAAGATTTTAAAGATTTTAAGGATTTAAATAGTGAATAGTGTAGGATTTTAAGGTCCACAGATTTTATATTGAAATCAGAATCGAAATAGGTAAGTAAAATCATAAAAGTGTAGGATTTTAGGATTTTAATCGGGATTTTGAATACTCTGGTTACGGGATGTGAATTCTATGATGCTTCATGCATCTTCTTTCTATAATTTAATGAGATATCTTTTTCATTAGATGCCTATATCATTCAATGTCTATATCATTAAATGCTTTAGTCATGTGATGCTTATACCATTCCATGTGTATTGTTTATATCATCCATTATGTGCTACTATGGTATTGTTTATAGTGTCATGTTAAGTTGTTTGGAACTACGCTTATATGATGTGCATTATGATAGAAGGTTAGCTACTCTTTAGTTATTCTCTAGCTCCAATCGACCCGACCTCTGCCATACTCTTAACCATCATCAACTACAGAGCAATCACAATCTGCGACTTCTATAAACTCGTGATTCTAGGAACTCATGAAATATTTTGCTTATTGTTGAAGGTTAGCTAAATTATTAATATTTGAAGTTGAAATAAAGTAAAAAGTGCTTTAAAAATGTTATTTCTACTAAAAACTTATATTTTCACTTAAAATGCCTAGGCATCGCCATGGCATGTTCGACACTAGGTAAGGCCTCAAATCCTACCTAACACCTTCTAAAACCTTGTCGGAAATCATGTTGTTCAAATGAAAATTTTCACTAAAGATTGATATTTTTACTAGTATTATCCAGTGTTGTCGTAACCGACAAAGCTGATCGGCCGGACCGGTAAAACTAGGACGTGACTGTCAGGTCAGTTTGAATTCGCTTAAAACAAGCCAATGACAGACTGGTCGACCGGACAACGGGTGAAACAATTAACCATTCAAACCGCCTTAACCGATCAAGCGATCACATCATATGCCCGCCCTCTAATTCCTACCGAAAAGTTGGGATGTTTAAATAATTAAACCCCATTAACTACCTCCACTAATTATGCACCCACAATCAATTTATGTAAGCTATATAAAAATTTAAGGGTAAATACAATTTATTAGAAAAATTTTCGTTTTAAATAAAATAATAGCCAAACATTTTCAAAAATAATTTATTAGCTAAACCGTCAAATTTTTATTCAGACAACCGTTAGTTGACTCTGACGTGACAAAATATTAATTGAGATGGATGGTTTTTAATGATGTGGCAAAATTTTAACGTTTGACTATGCCACATGAATATTAGATCATTTTATCAAACAATTTTTATTTTTTTAAAAGTGAATAATCTGAAACTACATAAATAATAATAGTCAAATGGTAGATGGGTCATGTTTAGAATTGAAAATTTTAGAACTAAAATAAACAAAATTGAATGATTTATGGTGTAGTGTGTTATTATGTATGTACTAGTTATAATATTTGTATTTATGGGTCATCGGTCTGCTTATATTTTTTTTTACGATTTAATATCGATTAAATTAGTAAAGTGTAAAACACTCACTTGGCACATCATTGGAGCAGACATAATCACATAACAATGGGAGTGCTCGATTTCTTCCACTCAGGTACAATGCCAAGTGGTGTGAATTCAATTGTTGTTTCTTTACTTCCTAAGGTTCAAAATGTAGATACTTTGACAAATTTTAGGCCAATATATTGTGTGAATCTTTTGTATAAGATAGTAGCCAAAATTTTAACCAAGAGAATAAAGGAAGTATTGCCTCGGGTTATTAGTGGTACTCAATCTGCCTTTATTAAAGGAATGAGCATAATGGATAACATACGTCTAGCTCAAGAGTTGGTTAGTGGGTATCATAGGAAGGACTTATCCTCTCGTTGTGCTATCAAGATAGATATCATGAAAGCGTTTGACTCAGTAAATTGGTCCTATCTGTTTCTTATGATGAATTCAATGGAGTTTCCTGAGCAATTTATGAAGTGGATAAAGAGTTGTATCCAAACGGCGCATTATAGTATCAATGTGAATGAGAGTTAGTGTGGTTTCTTTAGGGCTAGAAAGGGGGTAAGGCAGGGTGATCCATTGTCACCCTACCTTTTCACCATAGCCATGGAGGGTCTCTCTACACTGTTATTGAAAGCAGGTCAATCTGGTGAAATTCCATTCCATCCACAATGCAGACGAGTATCTCTGAACCATATGTGTTTTGAGGATGACATCTTGGTATTTACTGTGGGTCTGCTCAAGCTATCTTGCAAGTCAAAGCAGTTTTGCACAGATTTTATCAGCTTTCTGGGCTTAGGAGTAACCCATCTAAGTGTGAGATTTACTTTGGAGGAGAATCAATTCACTATAAAAATAATGCTCTGCGGCTTTTTGATTTCCAGGAAGGCAAGCTCCCTGTCAGATACTTAGGTTTACCGTTAATAACTGGGAAGTTGCCCTCAAAGGAGATTGATACTCTAGTGGACAAAATCACAAGAGAATGAGATCATGGGAGCTAAGAAACTGACTTATGCTGGCTGGTTGCAACTGCTTAATTCGGTATTGATTGGTATTGTTCAATATTGGATGCAGTTATTTGTGCTGCCTAAGTAGGTTCTTAAGCGAGTACAAAAGGTTTGCTCTCAATTCTTTTGGCATGGTAATGATGACGGAAAAGCTAAAGTTGCATGGGATTTGATTGCTCTCCCTAAAAAAGAAGGTGGCTTGGGGGTGAAGGATTTGCGGGCATGGAATCAAACATGTACAGTTCGAATGCTTTGGTTATTCTTGTTGAACTCTAGGACAATCTGGGTAGCATGGATGTATGCATATAAATGCAAGCAGGGGGATTTATGGTCGATGAAGATTCAATATAGTAGCTCTTGGACATTGAGACGATTGCTTAAACTGAGACCTCTGGTTCATACTTGGCTGCACAAGCAGAATAATGAGATTTACTGGGGACCAAAGCTGATGATGAAGTATTCAGTAAAGCAATTATGGGAGACGTTGAGGATTAAAGCACCTGAGGTCCCATGGTATAAGCTGGTATGGTGCAAGCATTGCCCTCTGTGATACAATTTTCTTGCCTGGCTCTTAATTAAAAATGCTATTATTACTCGGGACAAACTTCTAAAGTGGGGGAAGATTGCAGATGCTTCTTGTCCATTATGTGGAGGGGCAGCAGAGACAATAGAACATTTATTTGTGCAGTGCTTTTTTATATGCCAGGTTGCTTCTTTCTTGAGATGCAATCTGCTCAATTATAGTGACTGGGATGTAATGTTGAGTGGCGTTCTGAATGTAGTAAGCAGGGGCTCGAGGACAGGTCATTGGCATGCAATGATTTGGTGCATCCTGTTATCTTTTGTGTGGAAAGAACGTTGTGAGGTTGTTCATGGTTCTGTTTGTAAAAATTTGGCTCAACTAGCTGATCAGCTGCATACAGAGCTAAGTTTTATTGTTGCTGGTCATACAGAGTTGCAGGCTGAACTAGAGATGCTGGGTTACTTATAGGTTACCACAAAATTTTACTCTCCTTTTTCTTGTAAGTAGAATCAGAAAAGAAGTAGTAGGAAGATAGTAGATGATCGTTGTATTGCATGGGATCTGTTGGATCCTATCTCGTTGTATCGGTTTCTTTTCTTGAGCAATAAAAGCAACTGATTCAACGAAAAGAGAAATGCAGTAAACTCTTTTTTTTTTTTTTTTTGTGTGAGTAAACTCTTAATTTAAAATAATTGAGTAAATTTTTCTCATTTTTCTAATTGTTGCATCCTGTTGTAAAAAAAAAAAAAAAAATTTGTTGCATCCAAAGCACTTTAAGAAAAGTCCACACCTTTGACGAAGGATTACTTGTTAAATAATTCAACGAAAAAATATTACTTGTTAAATATATAATTCCACAAAAGAATTAAATTAGCTTTACCTTCCACATCCATATTCGTCCCAACTGCCAAGTTTCCAACCATTCTAGTTCTAGACTTCTGGTCAATGTCCTCTCCCCCACCATTCCGAGGAAACCAAACGCGCTGCAACAAAAACGCGCAAGAACAGTAACCATTGGGTTGAAAGTTTTCCAATCTTTTTCCCTCGCGTCCCCGGGAAACAGATGCATCTGCAATTCATTGGTCTGCATATATAGCAGGTTGTTGGGTCTCTTCTTGCGAAAATGACCAAGCCCAAGAGTCTCTTGCAGAATTTGATGAAGCCCTTCAAGTTCGGTTCTAGAAAAGGTGTGGATTTCGGCTTCTTCTCATACGGTGCTGCTTTTGCTTCCCTTCCTTTGTAAACCTAGTTTTCTCTGTATTGTTGATGGGACGCCTCAGGCGGAGAGAATGAAGAGGATTTGGAGAAGATTGCTGCTCAAGAGCAGAAGCATTTTGCATTTGAGACCTTAGTTTCAGCTACCAAAGATTTCCACCCATCAAATAAGCTTGGTGAAGGTGGGTTTGGACCCGTCTACAAGGTAAGACTACCTTGATTGGGATTTCTTGGGTTTTTCTGAAATCTTGAATTATTTCGACTAGCTTGTATGGTTGGTCTCCATTTACTTCCTGTTGCTGGTTTGTTGTCTATGTTGTTCTTGCCCCACATTGGTTGAGTTGTTTTTCAAAATCTGGGAACTTTGTGATGTATTTGGAGTCTCTTAGTCATTTCACAAAATTTCCAATATCCATTATTCAGAGTTGAAATTATATGGAAACCCTCTTGTTCCTGTCATTTAGGCTTTAGGCGTGAAGTTGTAATTAGAAGAGTTGGTCTAAGCAATTTCAGGCACTTAGTATTTTGGGAGTTCGGAGCTATTCAATTGCATGCGTTTTTAACGTATTTCAGCCCCATGATCCATCCTTGGTCTTGAAAGCACATGGGAAGTGAACTAGATACACCACATCTCTGTAGCAATCGTGGCGAAGTATCACGAACATAGTCTTCCCTGTTCGGTGTGGAATTCCCTTGAAGATCAAATGTGTTGTCTACAGAATGATGTAGATGCTTAGGTTTTATGCTTAAACTGGAGACTCTTAGACCAATGTGTGTCTGGCACAGGATAGCTCAACCATCCATCTAACTTCTGAGATCTTCTTTCCAGGGAAAGCTGGATGACGGTAGGGAGATTGCAGTGAAGAGGTTGTCCCATAGCTCTAGGCAAGGGAAAAACGAGTTCACTACGGAAGCAAAATTGTTGGCTCGGGTACAACATCGTAATGTTGTGAGCTTGTTAGGCTATTGTGTGCATGATATGGAGAAGCTACTAGTTTATGAGTACGTTGTAAATGAAAGCCTCGACAAGCTTCTTTTCAGTAAGTACCTTCATCTCTCTAGTTCAATGTTCTTCCATGTTGATTCACCGTCTTCTGAGATTGGGTCTCATAACATTTTCGTGGTCCAATCGAGTACCATAAACTAAGGAGAAGTGGAAAGAGACACTTTTTAGTCGCATACAACTAGGAATTGATTTCTCCACAAGGTCCAAAATCTGTTTTCTTGGTAGGGTTTCATTTTTGTTGGATGATTTATCTTGTCGGCTATGGTACAGCTGGGTTTAACCCTTCCTCATGCCTCTAGGATGAAACTTTCCCATTAAGCCCAAGAAGAAAATTCTGTGTTTTATAAAGAATCTTTTGTTTCTGTTTGCATCGGAAATACGGAGAGTCAAAATGAATTGAAAAAATTCATGTTGATGATGTCATTGATGTAGAATCCAATAGTAAAGCACATCTTGATTGGAGGCAAAGGTTTGACATAATCATGGGAATCGCACGGGGCTTGCAGTACCTCCATGAGGACTCGCACAATGTCATCATCCATAGAGACATCAAAGCTAGTAACATTTTGCTCGACGACAGATGGGTACCTAAGATTGCCGACTTTGGGATGGCCCGCCTCTTCCCTGAAGATCAAACACACATCAACACCCGTGTAGTTGGTACCAAGTATGTTTCTTAATAACCTACAGTGGAGAAGATATAGGTCCTATACTAATAGACATAGATATTAATGATGTGCTTATGGTTTGTTGACAGTGGTTATATGGCTCCTGAATATGTCATCCACGGACGTCTATCAGTGAAGGCTGATGTATACAGCTTTGGTGTTTTGGTCCTAGAGCTGATCAGCGGGCAGAAGAATTCAGCATTTATCAATGCTGATTATATCAATCTACTGGATTGGGTGAACTTTTGATCCTGTTGTAGTTCATGACATGACCACATTTCAATAATAGCATGTCCTCTAACTGATCTGCTGTTTGGTTCTGTGCCCAGGCATACAAGCTCTATAAAGAAGGAGAGACCATGGAGATTATGGACCCAACTTTAGCTACATCAGCAGCAGCTGAACTGGTAAAGACTTGCATACACATAGGACTACTCTGCACACAAGGGGAACCCAACTCGAGGCCCACAATGAGACAGATAGTTCTTTGGCTATGCAAGAAACCTGGCCACTTGGAAGAACCAACTAGGCCAGTAGTCCCTGGTTCACGGTACAGAAGATCTCGCAGGCCAAGGACAGGAACATCTTCAACTGCTGGAACATCATCTGGTCATTTTGATTCTCGTGGATCAGATTCGAGCACAAGCAGTAGTAATACGAATACAGTGACTGCCTCAGCGTCCGTATCAGCTTCAGCTCAGTCTAGCACAAGAGTAGATCCCTATGGGAAACGACCTGTGTCGAGTTAATTATAGGAAGGGTTTAAACCAGAAAGCTGACAGGTGCAAATTAGGAATTAGGGGTAAATGATATGGCCTAAGGAGGAGGTTAATTAAATTTCGTGTAAATTCGTATAGGGGTGAGTTGTTTCTTCCTAATGTTTATTTGCTTCGTTGAGTGTATATAGCAGAGTTTTGATTTGATTCTTTGATAGGTTTGTCATTTGTGCAGAAAGAAATGAAGTAACTCCGTAAAAGCGTCGAGCTTAATAAAGATGATATTACTGTAGTTCTTAGAGCATCTCCATTGGTGCAATGGCATTTGCAATTGCATTTGTTTTTTTTATTGTTACTTCATTTTTTTGCAATCCAACTCATCTTACTTGCATTGCACCACATCAATGCAATTAACTTGCAATTGCAACTAATTTTTTTGATTTAATTTATTAAAACATAAACACTCAAATAATAAAATTAATGAATAATTTAATAATAAAAAAGATGATGTGGCTTGCATTCTATAATTGCATTATATGCAAGCTTGTAAAGATGCAATTGTCATCTACATCAATGAAGATGCAATTGTCATCTACATCAATGAAATTGCAAAATGCAATTGCAAATGAATGCCATGTCATAATGCAATTCTAATTGCAATTCCAATGGAGATGCTCTTAGGATATCACAAAGTTGTCATTTATACATCCACCTTTTCGAAATGACAATCGTTTCTTAACTAAAGTTTTTTTTTTTAATAAAAAAAGAATTTTCTGTTAGAGATTAACAGGTTGCATAGTTAGCAATGACAGCCTAACATGAAAATTGCTAGGGTGGTTTGCATACTATATTACTATATTTGCATTAGTCATTTGCCATCAAATGATTTGTTTGTCAATGAAAAACAAAATGAATCATGTGCAAATGACTCGTTTTTTCGTCATTACTTTCCAATTTTAATTCTCATTTTTTTCCCCATATATCCTATATTATCCCTTCTCTATTTTGTCTTCATGAACTCAATAATTTTCATTCATTTCCAATAATACGTTTCAATTATTTTTAGTAAAATAGTCGTTACTATTTGTTTCAAACTTTGCTTGTAAAATTATATACTTTGGAATCATTACAATTTGTGAAGAAAGTTAACATGAAATTATCGTTAAATAATAAAAAGTAATATTATTTTATTTGGATAGTCCAAAATGATATGTTAAATCTTGATTGTAAAATGAATTTCATTTTCGTGGTTGGCTTTATTAGAATAACAAAAAACAAAATGAAACATATTATATTAAGGGGTTGTTTCCATTTTGATCAAATGTAGACATATGAGAAATGTAGATATTTGGGAATTTAGACATTTGAAAATGTACTATTTGTTTAAAAGTTTTCAGATGAATCATTCATAACGAGTCATTTGTATAATGTTACCATTTTGCCCTTACATTTAATATGTTTCATTGTTTTGTTTCCTATCTTAATAAACCCAACCACGTAAAATAATTATTTTGCAACCAACAAAACATATTATTACGACCCACGTGCAATATTACTTTCTAATTTTAAACAATAATTTATGTTAAATTGCTTTATAAAAGATAGCGACTCCAAAAGTCTCAAATTTAGGCTAATTACAAAAGGTTAGGCAAATGCCCTGCACATAGTGATGTTTGTGAATGGAAAAGATGCATCTTTGAGTAGATGACTTGCGAGAGAGAGGCGTCGAACTAGGTTGGTAAGCGTCGGTTGCTAATGATGGAGAAGAGAGGTTGATGGAGACGACGAGAAGGATGACCCTTTTCGGTTCTTTTGAAATTTGATGAAGATAAAATTAATAATTTCGGGAGGAGACAAAGCAATGATAGGGGAAAGAAATCATAAAAAGGGAATAATAGAGGTGGATTAATGAAGAAGTGTAAGGACATGAAAGTTTGGACTCAATAATGAGTCATTTGGAAATGACTCGTTAAAATTATTTTAGAATTTCATATGAACGAAATGACTCATGCACTTTTTTGTTAGTAAACGAGTCATTTGGTACCAAATGACTCAAGCAAACAACCCCTAGTAAAATAGTTATCTGGGGCGTCGATGAAGGTGATAGTTCAAGATGACCTTCTATAAATTAATTTAGAAGAGAAATCTACTTGGAGTGCAGCCTAGAAGAACAACTCACAATTAAATTGTCGAGCTATGCATATCCTTCAATCATCTATGTCAACTAATGAAGCTAGCAAAGTAGAAGAGAGCTAAACTGGGAAAGAAATTATGAGTATTTGATAACTCGATATTTGCACATGTTCTACCCCCATTATTCTTAGATTGTTTGAGGGTTGATTCTCACTTTTGAAGTCGATTTCACGATAGGTTGTGCTTTTAGGTCGTACGTCAGGACCTGAATAAAAAATGAAGGCTTGGGAGCGAGTTTCGGGTCAAAACGGAGAGAGGACGAGATATGGGAGTTGGAGGATCAAGATCTCTGGTCAGGCCATCCAACCCTCGATCGGGGAGCATCATCTCGGACCGAGGCTGACGTTTAGGAGACCCCCCAGGCAGAGCATTTGAAAATCCCCGATCAGGGAATAGAGGCATACTTGGGAATTGACCTCGGGGAACTTAAGTCATGTGCAGCATTTTGAAGATCCCCGGTCAGTGCATCTATTTCCCTATTGGGGAATGTGCCCAGTAAAGGCCGAGCTTCGCTGTTACATGCCGCACTCGGGATTTTGGATTGGGGTCACTTTTTCCAAATCCAAAATAGTTAGAGAGAGCCCTGGAGAGAGAAAGTGACGAAGAACATCCTTTGGCGAAGATTGGAGTAGTCTAAGGTCATCAGAGCTCGATCTTTCACCCTTGGAATGCTGATTCGTCATCTAGAGAACATATTTGTCATTCACACGATGATTTCTACATCGAAAATTTTGTTTTCCATTCTCTCCATGGAGTAAACTCTCTTTTCATCTCGATATGAAGAACCCTAGTCTTGTATGTGAGGAATGATTGTATGAACCCATTTTCATGGATGATCGATTATGTTATATCTAATTGAGGAATTATTCATAATTGCATGAGGCCTGATCAAATTCTTGTGATTCCTACTTTAACCTAAAATGATAGTCTCTACATAGGTTAAAAGATCAACCTGAATTGGAGGTAGTGAATCGATTTCTTTAGTCGAGAAGTCGATTCACTGCTCTGTACTGGAATTGAAATCCAATAGAGGAAGTTTTGTGTGTTAGTTCCTCGGTTAGCTTACTTGGAGGTTAGTCACCCGTCGTGTATCCTAACTGAGAGGGTCTGGAGTTCTTTAGTTGAGACTGCAAACTTGTCAAGAACTTTCCGCAATATAAATATCAATCGAAATGAACTTGGGGAATTACAACCTGACTTAAATGCAGACTAGGGGGACACATACCTGGGTGACCTTTCTCTTATTTTGGAATCAGAATATTTACTTGTTTACTTCCTATTTTTGCATACATACAACTTCACACCACTTCAACCGCTAGCTAATAGAACTTCACTAGGTAACTAGTACACCTAGGACTTGGGTTGACGTTTAAAATCTTAACCACTATACTATGTTCCTAGATCGCGATTACACTTGATCATAATTTAGTTGTGTTAGTATTAGTCTCAAATAGATTTGGAAAATGATTGTATTTTTTATTTATTAGATTTGATATACTCTATAGAGACTTTCATCTTTCCATTAAAGTCTAAGTTTGTTTGATTTTATCTCAAAGTTAACTTTGTTGCTATTGTTATAATGAAGATACTTAAAAAGTATAGTATAATTATTGTACAATAGTATCATCTTCAGTGTCCGTAAATCTATATCATCTTGTTTTTATGAGCTTGTTATTCTAGAAGTGTTAAAAGAGGGTGTTGTTTCTTTTTGTCTAAGCCTATAATTTGCATAGGGATTTGGTTTCCCACGTGTGTGATAAGATGTTGCATTACTACAAAACAGTTTTGTATTATACGCCTCCTACTGTCCATTATTGACTAGGGGGACACATTATAGAAGTGCAAAAATTACAATTCTAAGTCATCAATCTTAAGAAATTATAAAAAAGAAGAATTTATTGGAATGTTGTATCTTTATTGCTAGTGCAGAATATATTTGAGAGAGAATTATATTTGCATGTGTGTGGAGAAGCATCGTTTTCGGGGGAACCACCATCAACATGTAAATGACTCGAACTAAATCAAATATCCGATGGTATGATAAAATTCGAATACCATCGAATATTTGATTTAGTTTGAGCCGTTAACATGTTGATAATGGTTCCCCGAAAACGACGCTTCTCCACACACACGCCCCCAAATTCTCCCCCGTTGCATCGTCGACAGATACCCTCCCATTTCAACCGAGAAAAAGAAACGAACAAAAAAAATAAACAAACAAACAAACAAAAGAAGGAAGGAAGAAGAAAAGAAACGGAAACCATTTCCCCCACACAGAAAGTCGGAAGGAAACAACCAGACAAAATAACAGAGAACGAAGAAGAAGAAGACGACGACATTTCTTTTCAGACTCCCCTTCTTCTGTGATCAATCAATTTCCGGCGATTCCCTTGGTGCTCACGCACGTGATCCTATCAATCATATGTAGAAAACCAACAAACAAAAGAAGAAGAGGAAGAGAGTTAGTTTGTTGGGGCTCTGTTTTTCGTGATCTGTTTGGTGCAGGCAGGCAGGTTAGGGGTAAAAACCAAAAGAATAGCAGCAGGGGGAAAGAAAAGGCCGGCAGGGTGGATACCAAAATAAGGAAAGTGAAGAAGGCGTTCAGGAAAGTAAGAGGGCTGAGGCAAATGGATGAAATGCTTGGATTGCTCCGTGTCCGCATCCGAAAGGGAAGGCACCTCGCCGTCCGCGATGTCGGCCGTAAAAGCAGCGACCCCTACGTCGTTCTCACCTTAGCCCAGCAGGCCAGTGCTTCCCTTCTTCTACCCACATCCTCTGCCTCTGCTCGCTCTCAAAATTGGAGATTTTCAGCAAGAAAAAAAAAACATGGCATCCAATTGACTTTTGTCTTAAATTTTTTGGGGGTCTTTTGTTGATGCAGAAGTTGAAAACTAAGGTGGTGAAGAACAACTGTAACCCGGATTGGAACGAAGAGCTCACCCTTTCCATCAGGGACACTAATTTCCCCATCTTACTTGTAAGTTAGAAAAGCTCACTCTTTCGAGCGAGAATATATAGGGGCATAGAATTGTGGAATTCAAACCCTTTGATTTTTTTGGCAATGCATTGCAGACGGTGTTTGACAAGGATACCCTGACGGCTGACGACAAAATGGGAGAGGTGAACATAGACCTGAAACCCTTTGTGGCTGCACACAGGATGGGACTGAAAAACCTCCCCAACGGCTGCTCCATCAAGAGGGTCCAGCCCACCAGAGAGAACTGCCTCGCCGATGAGAGCCCCATTACCTGGAACGAAGGCAAGATCCTCCAGGACATGGTTCTCAAGCTCCAGCACGTCGAATCTGGCGAGGTTCACGTCCAGCTCGAGTGGATTGATGTTCCTGGTTGCAAGGGACTCACTCATGGCCATGCCCCCGAGTCCAGCACCACCATATAACCCCACCCACAAGTTATGCCGGTGGAGCTACTGCTGCTACTGTTGTTCTTTTTCGTTGTCGTCGTCATAATATACAGATTCTTGTTATATGTTCTTCTTCCCATTAGCCTCCTCCTGGTGTTGTTGTTGTAAAGGGCAGGCGTTACTTTTGCTGTCAAAACTCTGGTATTGGTTTCATTTTGTGCTTTGTCAATTGTATATTCTGTTTTTTTTTTTTCTGTTACGACAGGTGCCACAACTCACATGTATATTAATCTCTTCTTGTTGTTTGGTAGCATGCTGTTACGTAGATGCGCGTAGGGTGCCTACTTGCCTTCATTTACTTGGATAGATGGGCACTTGGTAGTTATTCGATGAACGCTTTTATTGCAGAAATGGGTCCTTACTCCTTAAGGTATTGAATAGTACTAGTTGGGGAGATCTGAGTGCTCTCTTGACTTTTGGCTTTGAGCGTTAAGAGTTCCCATCATTTCATTTCATTTCATTTCATTTCATTCACTTGGCAAGCTCCAGTAAGCACACACCAAAACGCATAACTTAAAACTTCCATCTTTATTAACTCTTCTGTTGGCCAAACTGCATGCATATTTTCCCTCAGTTATAAAAACAGCACCCTATGTTCTCAAAAGAGCTATGTGAAACCAAGACAGCGACAGCACACCAAACCTGTGTCCTCTAAACATAAGGGGAGAAAAGAAAGAAAACTTTCTACCTGCTCTCGTTCAGTTCAGTATTAGAAGTGGGGGGGAGCAAAAGTACAGAACTCAAACGGGAAAGCTACTTTTGGAGATGCTTTGCATCAGTTTGGTGATGTTGGCATCCATCCCCATATTTTAAGGGCCAGTATCCTTGTGCTCAGTAGTTAGAAGACAACTGAGAGTTAATGAGCACCGAGAGCTTCTTCAAGTCCCAATCCTCCATGTTTGGGGATATGACAGCAACTCCAACAGCCATTGCCACCATTATAAAGGCCATACCTTTCAAGCAGCCATGTCCTCTCGATAGTTTACCTTGTATCCCCTTGCAGTACTTGTCTGCTTCTTTGTAGAGTACATCGTTGTGCCCTTTGACCATTGCTTTCTCATTCTACAATGAGACGGGAGTACAAAACTTGTAAGCACTTTCAGGAAGATTAATGCAAAAGCACGAAAATTCAATGTGGCAAACTTTCAGCGAGTGTTGTATAATGAATCACTACCTTTTGCCTAAAATCTCTGATAGCATCCCTCAGAGGATCGGAAGGAGCCAATTTCTCCGAGAACTCCTTCCATCCCTCGGAAAGCCTTCTAAGAACAGCAACACTTGCATTTAGATCGTCCTCGTACACCTTAACCTGTTTATCCAGACACATGTACGGATTTCATCAAACAGATAAAACAAACCTTGACCGGTGAAGACCAACCCTCGGAATATAAAAACTCACCCACTGCTTGTAGCACTCGCTATTCTGGGTGAAACACCAGATTGAAATGCCAGCAGCTTCCTTGGACAACTCTGGATTGCCTGTAAGAAGGATTTCAGTCCACCAGTTTTTCATACTAAGAAGCTAAGAACTTGTCATATAATTCAAGAATCAGCTACAAAATAAATATAGAGGTGAGATATCTAAGAACACTTACTTTCCCCAGCTGCTTTCAGAGAGAAGCTCAATATCTGCTGTGCCACCTGCCTCATAGCCTTACTTCCAAAAGAACCAGCAAGTGCCACCTCTTTGAGGGTAGGATATATTGCTTCAAACCTCTCCGTAGCCTGGATGTCAAAGTGACAGGTGAAAAACAAGAGCAACATCTTAAAACCACACTAATAACTCTAATGTAGTAGCCTTAATGTCACAAAATCACATGAGCGGCTCATGATGAGCCATAGTCAACACTAGTTGTTTTATTTAAATATATACAGGAATATCATAAATGTAACCCTCTTAATCCTTAACAAGCTGAAGGTGCACAAACTTGACAAAGAGGACAAAACTCATATGTCATTAGAATCGGAAACTGGCAACAGGATTTCGCAAGCACCCACCTTTACCCTAGCTGAAGATGTAGGAAATGTAATTCTAAGCAACATCTCTAATGCAGAAGGTGGAACCAGTCGTTCCCCTCTCCTAACAGCACCGTTTACTAAAATTGTCCTAGCTTTTGGAGCAGCTAAAATCCTGCATACATAATTTTTGTCAACATAATTGAATAATTCAAAGCAAAGAGCAGGAAGTAAATAGCAAAGGTTAACATACTTCTCCACTAGTTGCAAGATCAAATCCCTAGACTGCGGATTATTATTTTTCCCACTCACGATGGGCAAGAGGTTATGTGCCCATGAGAACAACCCGACTGACAAATCTGCTTGAGAGGCCTATATAGAATAAAAATAGAATGATAAGAAAGTAAGCAAGCTACCAAGAAAAGAGTTAGCACATTAAAGTCATGACCCTACTTACTTGAGTGACCATCCATACAATAACTGGAAGCTTGTCTTGGCCTTGATACTTTGAAGTTTCCTTCAACGTCGGCAATATGCTAATCAAGGCGTCAGGTTTGCGACGCAAGACCATTGCCAGAACCACAAAGATGGCAACCTGGACAGATTATGAAAGGACCCCCTATGTTCAGAAACATTCCCCATCTAATCACAAAGCACAGTGAAGGTGATGTGAATTCCTTCCATTTGAATAGACTTGACTACATTTAGACCTATATGATGGAGATAGAACCTAATAGTTCTACCATATCATACCCCTGTGCTGGTTATCACCAATGCAGTCCTTAAATCAACCAAGGCCATATACTGGCCAAAATAAAAAACCTAAGTAAACTATAAACTAACAAATAAAAAAGAGAATCGTCAAACAGAAGAACTGAAAACCTGCATAAATTGAGTTTGTACTTTCTCACAGTCTCATTTATAGACATAAGAACAAAGACGGACCATCTAAACATGCTGGTTATTATAAGAAGCTCTTCTTTCAAAGCGAGATTGCAGATACAACCTAAGACACTCGAGTTTATACATATGTATGGATAAGGGCATGAGTATCTGAAAGAACTCAATCTGGCTCTCAAAGGATATGAAACTTTCACTTCAGAGCAAAGAGATTCTGACATAATATAACAAGCACAAGCTGATATTATGAAGGACCTCAACCATTCAGCCACAGCAATGAAACTGTAAGGTTAATTTAAATATTTCACAAATAAGCCAAGCAAAGTAATGCCATCTGTTAAACAAACATCAGCAAGGAAGAAGCAAGCTCAAAATCTCTCAACGTACCTGGGACTTTGATGATGTTTGCTGACCACCCTTCTTGGATCCTTTGGGACCACCCTGCTGGCTCGCTAAATCTGCAAGGATACTGTCCAGACACCATAGCACAAAGGACCCAAGTGCCTCCACTGGACGTTGAGAGATCCAGTCAACAGATGTTTTAAATACGGGTTCTGAAATGTAAGACAAGGGAACCTGCAGAAGAGAGCCTATGTTAGTTACATTCTGATATTTGAGAAAGCAAAGCTGAAAGAAGATCAACAAACAATCGCCTACAAGAGCATCACCTACAGCATCAAAGCTTATCATTCAAGCAATCTAGAAACACAAACAATGGCAAGAATGCTTCCTTTTACACAGCCCTTTTGGTATTGTTGTCGGAGAGAATGCGAGAACAATGAGTCAACAGAACCAAATGTCATAATGTAGATCCCGGTGAAAAGAAACAAAGATTCCCGGCCATAACAAAACCCTAAACAGGATATATTACGCAAGTGACAGACATGACGAGCTCAATTAAGAAGCATAATCTATAAGCTCGTGATTTAATGCCTGGAAAACGTGCAACACAGCATGTTAACCTTCACAATTAAACAGGATAAGTACAGCAAAGTGAGGACCACAGCTGAAAGCTTTGAACTTTATCCGAACAGAATATCCCAGTGTCCCAAGAACCATTCATTTTAATAGAGAATTGCAAGTCAGAATCAAGTAAGAAGAATCTGTATGACCCACATCGGCAATTTTGGTCAGAGGGTTCTCCCTGAACAGCTTCACCCATGGGAACTGGGCCGAACTCACAACCGAGAATGCTCTCCCAAAGTAATCAGCAAATCTCATGAGCTGTATCTCCTGCTGCCCCTCGTAGGAAGCCTTCATTCAAAATGCAATCGACCACCAAAACAAGGATCTCACATTAGAATAAAACCGAAATTCATCAGATCAAGCAAAATTCTATTAGGAGAAGATGAGAGATAAAACACATTAGGCATACTGACAGATATATCCACGAGAAACGCAGCGAGATCCGACTCGTCGATCTTAGCAGCAGCTTCGGACACGGTGATCTTGGGCTTCTTAGGCTTCTTCTGCTTCACCTTCTTCTCCTCGCCGCCCTTGCCATTCTCTTTGGAAACCCTAGCATCGTCGCTGTCGTCATCATCGTCGCTGTCATCGTCAGATCGATCCCTTGATCTGCCGGCTCTGGTGGTGGTGGCGGCTACATTGGGAGCTGTCTCGGCTTCCAAAATCCTCCTACGCCGCTCCTCCGATTGCTGCTCTAAGGACTTAAAAACGTTACCTTTGTCGTTACCTACCAGAGCACCGTTGATTTTGCCGGCGGGATCGGCGGCGGCGGCCGAAGGCTTCTGCTTCCGCTGCTTCTTGGCGTAAGTTACCTTCTGCCAACCGTGATCGGGATTGGCCGTCGCGTGGGCGGCTTCGAGGGCGGCGATCTGCTGTTCTTCGCTGGGATACGACTCGTAAGACTCCATTTCTGTCTTTTTTTTTTTGTTGGGTGCAAAAAAGTTTCGGGTTTCAGTGTTCGATTTTCAGACGGAAAGACGAAAGAGACTAAAATGATATGAACAGTTGAAGGTTAAATAGCGGAGTCCCGAAACGAAATAAAGATAATATTTTATTTATTTATTTTTCTAAAAGGATTTGGGGTTGATATGCCGTTTCTCGCCTCGAACCCAGCACATAATTACGGGGTTGCCTACTAGTTGCGTGCTGATAACTTGATCAAGGTTGTAAACCCGCAGGCTAATTTGGACCCGGTCGATCTAGTGGGTCACAGGTTAATGGGTAACTCGTTTTAACCTAGTTTAGCCCGTAAATATAGAAAGAGTCATTTTCTTGTACTTATCCTGATAAATTATATCAAATCGCATCTAACATATGAGTAATAACATATAATATTACACACAAAAAAAACATTTTGTATTTAGATCTAACATATAGTGAAAAGTGTAAATTGAAAATTGAGCGACTTGACAAAGAAAGGCGATTATCGGCGACTGCTCTAGGGTTTCTCGTTTTCCAGCGCCGTCATGGCGGTGGTGACAGAACCACCGGCCGGAGGGGGGTTACCCCCAGATGTGCTATCGGGCCAACGACGCCCGCCATGTGTTTCGTCGTCTCCCAACCCGAAAGGGGACAAGGAGGCGCAACATGCTAAAAAAAAGGCGAAATCAACAACGACAGTTCCCGCGACCGAGGCGTTTGCTGAAGATGTAACCATGAAAGCTGAAGCGGAACAGATGCGAACTCCGCCAACCCATACCCCGCAAAGCTCTGCATGGACACATGGGATGGGAGCGGCGCGCCGTCTGTTCGGCGAGGACGCGAGAACTGAGGAATGGTACGTAACGGATTCAGACTCAGAAGATGTAGCCGCGGGAATGAGGGATGATGGGAAAGAAACCAGGAGTGACAATGAAGATGATCCACTCTGCCCGCCAATACCCTTCTCGGCGGCGGAGGAGCAACAATACTGCCGTCAATGGAGGTCGGCGTTAGTGGTCAAGATTCTAGGGCGCTCAACCTCCTACACGGCGATCTCTCGGAGACTGAATGCGATCTAGGCTAAGGCGGGAGGAATCCAAGTCACATCGGCCAAGAACGGATACTATCTAGTGCGCTTTACGAGGGGAATTGACTACGAGAGGGCAATCACGGGCGGGCCATGGATGCTGGGAGAAAACTACCTTACTGTTCATATGTGGGATAAGGATTTTGATCCCTATAACCATGCTATTTCGTCCACCCTAGTCTGGGCTCGCTTACTTGAGATACCGATACAATACTTTCATCCTGATGTTGTTATGAAGATTGGTAAGCGCATTGGCAAACCGATCCGGGTTGATCAGGCCACCAGAACAGGGGCGCGGAGCGACTATGCTCGGGTTTGTGTTCAAGTAGATTTGACCAAGCCGCTTCTTTCTCAATTCCGAATCCATGGAAAGAAGTACTTTATCCAGTACGAGGGTTTGAAAAAAACATGCTTGCAATGTGGGACATATAATGCATATAGTACCTGCAAGTGCACCCAACCGGCATATCGTATGGAATCGGACAATGTGGAGGTACCTAGAGAACCGGTAAAGGTTGTCCCAGACACGGTCTATGGCGAATGGATGATTGCTAAATGCAAGCCACGGGGCCCACGCCGAGACCAACAAACAAGTCAACAGGAAAAGTCTGGGGATGAGAAAGAAAAAGAGAAAGTAAATGTTGTATCAGGTTCCAGATTCCAAGTGCTACACGTGGAGGAGGACATAACGTGCATGGCGACCATGCGAAGGGGACGTTGGGTGAACCCGAAATAGAGAGGGGGCCCCGTTCTTTCCCGGGGGATCATTTGCAAGCCAAAACGGGAAAGACGGACAAGGCCAAGTCTAAGCACTCTGCGGTATCGAAGGGGACAGTTCCTACCCCGGACACGACTCATACTCAAGGGGACAAGGGACTGAAGTTGAACGCCCAAAAAACAACAGCTAATAAGGAAAAGAGCCCTCTGCAGGTTCCGAACGCGGATGATGATGGGGGAACCTCCACGCATCAGGTGTTTTCCCCAACCAATCCAACTAACTGCCTTGTGCACTAACCCAGTGGACCGAATGAAAGCAGGAGGTTCCACGTCCGGGACCTCCGCTATGAACATACCTCCCGATGACCATGGACTCGTCTATCATCTCACCGCGACTGAATCTCTTGACGGAGGAAGTACCGAGACACATGGATGGGGTCACTCCATCCGATAATCAGTAACAGGGAGTTACCTCTTTTCCCCCGCTAATCTTATGTTAGTCAAGATATTTTCTTGGAACTGCAGGGGTGCGGGTAGTCGTACTTTTCTTCGCGTATTTAAAGAATACCGTAGAAAATATCGACCGGATATAGTGATAATTGTGGAGCCTCGCATTAGTGGGGACCGAGTTAATGAAGTTGTTCGGGATATGGGTTTTGATAGTAAATTGATTATTGATGCGGTGGGGTTTTTGGGAGGGATCTGGATAGCTTGGAATGCAGTCGATTTCACCATCACAAGAAAGAATACTCACTCACAGTGTTTACATGTGCAGGTGCAGGTCCCGAACTCTAGCAACCCACCTTGGCATCTCTCCGCTATCTACGGGAATCCAGGCCCTGTTCAAAGAAGAGAACTTTTGCATGAAGTTCGCAGAATAGCTGAGGATTAGGATCACCCGTGGGTTTTAGTGGGGGACTTCAACTCCATTACCAGCTCCAGAGAGAAGCTTGGAGGAGCACCTTTTGATGCCTCCAGGATACGTGATTTTCAGGAATGTATCCATGATACTAGCCTTATCGACCTCGGCTTCACGGGTCCACCGTTTACATGGTTCCGTCGGGGGATCCGGGAGCACCTGGATAGAGGGATGGTGAATGCGAACTGGGCCACTATATTCCTTGAGACTAATGTCCGCCATCTCCCACGCTTGAAGTCGGACCATCGGCCGATCTTGGTCTCAACGCAAGCTCCAACTCAGCCGGCGGGGCAAAAGCCGTTTTGCTTTATGGCGGCATGGCTAACTCATGAGGAATTCCAGCAAATGACAGCTAATGCTTGGGTGAAAGGGGAAGGCTTCCGAGTATCGGCCAAAGCTTTTGCTAGGGACGCCACACATTGGAATCGAACAGTCTTCGGGCACATTCAGAGGAGGAAAGATCAGCTGGTTCGACGGCTTGAGAGGTTAGAATGCATGGATAGAGGGCCAGTAAATAGTGACGAAGTCATCCGGGTGCGGGAGGAGCTTGAGTTAGTGTTGCTGCAGGAGGAAGTCACCTGGTGCCAAAAATCACGCCTTGAATGGATCGCTTCGGGGGACCGTAACATGAAGTTTTTCCACTTGCGCACCCTTTGTCGCCGTAAAAGGAACTGAATTCTTATGTTAAAGAATACGACTGATGAATGGGTAGAAGACCAAGACGAGTTGAAAGCTATGGCAATGGGGGTTTTCCAGCTGCTGTACACGGATGAGGGTGGTGCTTTGCAGCATCTCCCAGCTGATTTCCCACTCATAGAATCAAGCCGTTGGGAAGAGGTGGATAAGCCGTTGACGAGTGAAGAAATGGCGCAGGCAGTGCGCTCTATGGGGGCGCTGAAAGCACCAGGAAAAGATGGACTGAGCCCGATTTTTTTCCAGAAATGCTGGGCCACCGTGGGAGAATCATTGTGGAAGCTGGCAAAAGAATGTTGGGAAGACCCGGGCAGAATTAAGGAGATCAATGAGACGGTTTTGGTTCTTATTCCGAAGGTGCAACAACCTACTCTTATTGAGCAATTCCGTCCCATCAGTCTCTGTAATGTAGCGTACAAAGCTATTACCAAAGGACTGGCTGAGAGATTAAAATTACTGATGCCGACCCTAGTACGCGAGACTCAGACCAGCTTCGTTCCGGGACGTCATATTACTGACAATGTCTGCATTCTACAAGAGGTGGTTCACTCTATGCGTGCGAAGAAAGGTCAGAAAGGTTGGATGACGCTGAAGATCGACTTGGCTAAAGCGTACGACCGCATTAGATGAGATTTCGTTCAGAACACCCTGCAAGCGGCGGGGCCCCTGCGAAATTTGTGGCTGTTACAATGGCTTGCATCACTTCGGCTACCATGCAAGTTCAATGGAACGGCGGACTCAGTGAATCCTTCTTCCCAACGAGAGGATTACGCCAGGGTTGCCCTCTTTCTCCATATTTATTCACTCTCTGTATGGAAAGGCTGAGCCATTTGAATGATAACTAAGTTAGAACTAGAAGTTGGAAACCGGTGAAGCTTAGTGCGGATGGACCAGCACTGTCTCACCTATTTTTCGCAGACGATCTCATTTTGTTTGGGGAGGCGAGTACTGAGAAGGTACATGCGATCCTACACTGCTTTGAAACCTTTGGTGCTGCTTCTGGGCAGCAAGTTAGCAAGCCGAAATCCAGGGTCTTCTTTTCGAATAACGTCACTGCGCCCTCTCGCCATAGCTTGTCTGCAGCACTTGGCATTCCCGAAACAGCCTACCTGGGGCGCTATTTGGGAGTACCGGTAATACATGACTGCGTTTCCAAAGCTACCTATACGGCTTTAATAGACAAAATTGATTCGCGACTCGCAGGCTGGAAAGCAGCAACTATGTCGTTGGCAGGACGCATCACCCTAGCGCAATCAGTACTCTCCTCCCTCCCAGCGTATACCATGCAGACTGCTTTCCTCCCTGCTAATGTCTGGGATTACATTGATCGGAAGCTTCGAGCTTTTGTGTGCGGAAGCACAGATCAAGGGAAGAAAATCCACTTAGTGGACTGGGAGACAATATGCAGGCCTAAAGCGGAAGGTGGCCTGGGGCTTAGAGACTCGACTAGGACTAATGAAGCTTATATGCTAAAAATTGCTTGGCGGCTCATCACCAAGCCGGAGGAGCTGTGGGCCAGAGTTGTTCGAGCCAAATACCTCCGCCAAACGGCTGATGGCTGGGTTGCTAGATCGACGGGTCGCATCTCTAACCTTTGGAGAGGAGTTCTATGAGTTCTACACCTGGTGGAGGAAGCTACAAGCTGGAACATCAGGAACGGGAAGTTGGTGAGGTTCTGGAGTGATAGGTGGCTGGCTGACGGAAGCATCATCAAGGATTTAGCCCCAAATGTCCCGGAAGCGCTACTTCAAATGCCAGTCGCGGAGTTCGTGCTGAATGGTGAGTGGAACAAAGATTTCTTTGATGCTTACTTACCCTCGTCTACTGTTTCGCAAGTGTTGTTGCATCTTGTTCCCATGGAGGCCGAGGATGACGTACGGGTCTGGCGACTTACAATAGATGGTGTATTCTCCTTGCGCACAGCCTATGAAATCACCGACGGGGGAGATGCACCAGCGACGGGACACCCGGTGTGGAGGACCCTTTGGCGGACGGCAACAATGCAGCGCGTGCGGAGCTTCCTTTGGTTGATGAATCATAGCCGTTTGCTCACCAATGCAAAACGCTATAGGAGACACCTCACCAACAACGATGGATGCAAAATCTGCGGAGGAGAGAACGAGACAATGATGCACGTCATGCGCGATTGTCCATTTGCCAGAGCGACATGGGCGAATCTACTGGAAGGAGAGCCGGATGCACGTTTTTTTGAGCCAGACATCAATCGCTGGTCTCTGCATTACCTATCTGGGTGCAGCAATATTATCGATTCTGCTTTGTTTGCAGGTACGTGTTGCTTCTGTGGAAGAACCGGAATAGCTTCTTATTCGAAGGCAAGCTGAAAACCTATGCACAAATCCAGTTCGACACTAAGCAGCTCAGAAATCAGATCCAGTCTGCATTCGAGAAAGAGAGCAATATATTTAGAGATGGGGGACTCTGTGAGCGGCAACTCATTTGCTGGAAGCAACCACAGCAAGGATGGGTGTGTATCAACAGCGATGGATCAGTGGTACACTCTTAAGGAAGTACGACTTGTGGCGGCATCGTGAAGGGAGACGATGGACGCTTTATTAGAGCTTTCTCGGCGAACCTTGGCGGGGGTTCAATCACGAGGGCAGAGTTGGCTGGAATTGTGCATGGGTTGAAGCTTGCCTGGAAAGAAGGGGCTAGGAAGGTTATCCTACAGACAGACTCCACGACTGCGCTGGCCTTGATAGAGTCGGCCACTCCTACCCACCCACATTACAGGAGTGTCGCGGAGATAAGACACTGGATCAACAGGGACTGGCAAGTGAGACTAGAGCATGTGTTTCGCGAGGCAAACTATGTAGCTGATTATCTCGCTTCTTTTGGACATTCCCTACCTGTAGGGATGCATGTTTTTCATGTTCCGAGTAGTACGCTTTTGTACTGGTTGTATTTTGATCGGGTTGGGGTTCAAACACCTCGTATGGTTAATGCATAAAGGTTGGGGCGCCCTTTAAGCGCTCCATTTTCGACAAAAAAAAAAAGATCTAACATATAGTGAAAATTCACACACACTTATATAACATCAATATTCAAATGTTCAACTTAGGATTCCAAAGATTGAGTTAGGCAAAAAGAGAAATCGGAAAATAGGCGCATTTCGCAAACCAAAGAAAAAAATGACACAATTTCACCTCCAACCCGGTACCTTGTAGCGGTCGACCTGGCGGGTGGCTGCGGCCCTGTTTCTCACCGGGCTAGGGTCAAAGTGGATCGACCCACGGGTTGACAACCTTGCTTGATATATTTGTTTTTGGCATATAGCAGAAAAAGTCTTATATTTATTTTTTGTCACTTGTAATTAGGGCTGAAACAGGAAGTTTGGTATCGGTTTTTGGGATATTGAATACCGTATCAAATTTTTCTATATTTGTTATTACCGAATACACGTATTATTTCTTGGGATTGAGATTGTTATTACCGAATACACGTATTATCTCTCATTCACTACTACATGACCCTCAACCACCAAGAGTGTCATTTAATTATACACAGATCATTCCATCACTATTAATAGTCGTTTCTGAACGTCTAATTCATCAAATTAAAGATTACCAATGACATGAACTTGAGATGTCTCCTCTCCTCCATTCTCCTTAATAATATCCTAATTCAAAACTCTTTGCTTAGTCCTTTTTCCCTAAATTAAAAAATAAAATGTAAATTATATATTTAATTATTAGTTACAAAGGTAATTAATTTCGTATTCGATAATACCGATTGGGATACCGAAATATTTAGAGATTGAGATTGGGATATCGAAATTATTTAGGGATTGGAATTGACTTAAGGGTATAATTCGGTATTCGAGATTTCGTTATTTGGTATTGGGATACCGATACCGTACAGATTTCCACCCCTACTTGTAATGTCGTAATGAGTGTTGTCAAACCGGTGCTTGCTCTAAATAAAAGGAAAGAATAATAGAGTTAGAATAATAAAAAAAATCAAAACTCAAAAGGTAGGTTGTACGTGGGCACCGGGCCGTGCCGCCCACGGGCTAGCACGCCATGGCACGGTTAGAGCACGACACGAGCACGGACACGAAATAAATGGGTCAGCCCGGCACGAGCACGAATAATTTATGGACCGTGTAGGGTCTAAACTTCATGGGCACGAGCACGGGCACGACACAGTATATAAGTGGGTCGTGTCGGGCCTAATATTTTCGAGACTTTATTGAGTATAAGAACGGACATGGCACGAAAATAATATTTATTTGATAAAAAATAAATATAAAAAGAATTATAGGTTCAAATATTATAAAACACAAGTAGAAAAATAATTATTTGTTGTTGTTAGAAGTGTCATAAAGATATATACGTAATTACTAACATAAGGAAAAATGGACAAAGAATTAAACAAAACCAAATCACACTCGCTATACTTACAATTTTCTTTTCCCCCTTATTTGTTACTTTTCTTAAACATTATCGGTTAATACTATCTTCCCCCGTCCAATTTTCACCTTCTTTTTCATTCTCTCCTTTTTTTTTCGTCCTTTTCATTAAACACGAATACGAGCACGACACGAGCACAAATAGGCACGATACGATTCGAACTGTGCCTGGGGCTGGACTGGGTCTAGCAAAGTTAACAAATGAGCTTGCATGGCACGACACGAAAACTGACAGGCCGTGCCAAGCACGGCACAAAATAAATGGGCCCGAAGCGTGCCCGTGCTGGCCCAAGCACGGTCCCGCACCCATGTACAAGGTAGGTGGTAGCGGTCACTTTTCTTTTTTCAGTTGCCTTTATTCTTTTTTTTTTAAATTATCAAGGAAGTAAAATTCCAAAAAGTAGGTGACAGTTTTTCCCCCTCAAGCCCGCTCGCTTTGATGCTTTCGGGACCGAATTTGTGTCTGGGTTTGATTTTTCCAGATCCAACCATCTGGTCCGGTCCAATTTTCATAACACAAGTTGTAATCCAATTTTGTATGGAATGAATGTAAGGAAAAAAAGTGAAGAGCATAAGTGAATTTAGATGTCCCTGGTTCCTATGTCCCTAGGTGCGTTAATCAATGGACTGCGAGTACTTTGTATTGCTGGATAAGTATTGTGTTGTCGAAGAAGAAGCTATTTTTTAACCACTTTCAGCAGAGAACGATGACATGAAGCATTAGATTTCTTCACTTCAAATGAGCTTGAGAGCTGCTGAAACTAAGGTCGAGCAGAGGAAGAAGGCATACCATCGCTTATGCCATGATTTAGTTAAACTTAAAGAGGAGAATTCTATGTGAAACAACCCAATACTTTTACCCAACCGAAATACTCATGGCTCCGGAGCCGATTAAAAACAACCTAAAAAAAATATCATTAAAATGAATACAAATGAACCCTTTTCAAATGAAATGCCCTAAACACTTGGGCGACCACAACCCAAAACACTTAAGAAACTTATACCATGAACTTTGAACCTTGAATCTCCAGTATATATACCCAAAATCATGAAGATAAAATAACTAACTAAATCTGACTCTAGCTCCTCGTCGAGCTTCCCTCAATCTCGTCCACTCTAGTACGACTTTTCGTCTCGCCTTGCCTCTTCTCGAAATCCTCATCCACTAACCCTTCCTCAACTTGGTGAGTGAGAAGGGGGTCAGTCTCGCCGTACTTCCTAAGGTCTTTGCCCTAAGCAAATCTTCATATTAAACACGTTATTAGCGTTTCCTTTCATTAGATGAAAGTCGTTCTCGCTTCCATCCTCCATACTTAATAATTCAATAGCTTATGGAATCTCTTTACTCCTAAATTTATCTTATAGAAGTTATTTACTTCTATAGTTAACTCATACACATAATTACTAGGGACCATCGCGTTACATATCGCCGTCTGGTGTCCCTATACTCAAGGCGATGGTAATGCGTTACCTATCGCCGTCCAGTCCATGCCCGGTCAACTAGTGCGTTACGTATCGCCGTCCAGTAGTGATCCAACCATCTACAACATCCAGTAGTGGCCCAACCGCCCGAGGGTTCAGTTACCATCAATCATACATCACAAACACATTCACATACATAGCACAACGCGTGCCTCCACCTTAGGTAGGCAGTGGAATGCCTCACACACATTATCGCACTTACTTGAACATTAACTAAATAATAACTTGAAACAAAAAGCATAAACTAAAAAGACATCGACAAAGATTTTATCCCCTTTACACTCACCTTAAAACTGAAGTCGATTTGGCTTGGATTAACCATAAAATCAATGGATAACCACTCCTTGCATTTGCTGTCTCCGTTGCCTTCAATTGATCACATATCTTTAGCTATTTTTGTGGCCAACTAAACCACCCATTCCTTCACAGCCATTAGGGGTGGGCGTTCGGTCGGTTCGGTTTGAACCGAACCGAACAAGCATACCCCGATTTTCCGAATCACAGCATCTCCCGACCGAATTCGAATCGAACTATAACTCGGTTCGGTTCGACCGAACCGAGTTATAGATCGGTTGGGATCGGTTTTATACTACAAACCGAAATATGTATGCTCTATGCGGCTGTGCCCACGTCAAATTCGAGCAGGTCGAGGTTAATGGCCTTCCAATTGTTGCATTGCCGCCGCAGCAACCCGAGCAGCCGATGTCTCGCGTTTTGGAATCAGTACATGGATTATGCAATCTATCTTCCGCCATTCAAGAATTCAAGAGCAGGTTCGACGAATTGGAGAAGCACCTCGATTTGATCCGGACTGATATCGAGAGTCACGAGCAGCCTAATGGTCAAATCGACGGCGAAGCTGTGGCACTCGCGCCTTCGGTGGCGGAAGGCGCTGTTCCGGCGAGTTCTGAGTTGCTGAATCTCGTTGAGGTCGGGACCGGGACGGGGAGACGCCGAAAACGACGCAGCCACGCAGCCGCAGGTCGTGGTCGTCGGCGTCGGGCTCGGGCTGTCGGGCACGACGGGCAGACGGTAGTGGACTGGAGTGGAGGTCTGGAGGTCGGAGGAGGCGGATGAGTAGTCGCCGCCTTCTCCCTTTCCTTCCCTTGGCGTCGCGATTTCAAAAATCCACTCTTCTCTAGGGTTAGCTTAGGTCATGGACGAGTAGAGGTAGAGGGCATGAGGCCTTGAGCAGTCAGCAGGCTGAGTGGGCTTACAAAGAGGCCCAATCCAATTTGTGGGGTGGAGTGGGTTGAAAAAAAGGGTTGGGCCGAGTATTGGGCTGGGGCCTGGGGCGCTGGGAATTGGGTTGGGTAGGGGCAGTTGATTACTTCGGAATTCGGTCGGTTGGTTCGGAAATTCGGTTCGGTTTAAATGCGTCTGGTTTCCGAAATTCGCCATATCCACTTCTGAATTTCGAACCTAATTATATATATTTCGGTTTCGGTCGGTTTTTGTTCGGTTCGGTAAAACCGAACCTAATGCCCACCCCTAACAGCCATGCGAACTAATTATCATTCCACATGCAAGAACAATATGTGTTCATATGTCACACATCCAATTCAATTTTCCACACACATAAGTACACAATCAGGCTTTATCAACTAATCATCAACACCCTTACCGAATTCAAAGAGGGAGATCCTTACCCTTGATTTGTCTCGACATTCCCCGACCGTGACTATCTCTGGAAAACTCATTTTTCCCTCGACCCACAGCTTCTCAAGGTTGATCTCA